TGTACATTCTCCCTGTGCCTTCGGGTTCCTCCTACAGTCCAAGACCTTCTGAGATTAATTGGTGTTTCTAAATTGTCCGTAAGTGTGACTGTGATTGCACTTTGTCTTTTGTGTCCAGACTTATCAACCTTTCCAAATTGTGTATAAGTTGCTTGTCATCTTGAAACGAAGACTTGCAGCCAGATTCACTGTAGGTCGCTGTTGTACAGGCACTGAAACAGCTTAACCTTCTTTTGTATGTTACACTAGGATCACTGGTCACGTCAAGGTTCCAATCTGACGCCGCTGTTTTTGCAAGGTTTGGGGGTCTTCTTTGAGAACTAATGTTTTGCAGATGTATGGCCAAGGGGATGCCATCCTTGCCCGCTGGCTTCCAACCCACCACTCCCTGCAGGACAAGTGGTAGAGGAAACCTTGTGTTTTGCGTCAACAAAGCATCAGTCAACCTTACAAGCGCTCCTCCTTCATGCAGAAGGCCATGGCAGTCCTTCTTGTGGCTTTGAGTGTTTCTTAGTTGTGGGAAGTTCCTTTCACGCACCGAGAAATTCTATTTCTGCATGACCTCACTATATCTGTCCCCTCTTTACATAAGCATTTGATTGACCAAAGGCTTTCAAAGTTGATCTTATAAAGGTGCTCTGATCTTCTTTGCCAGAGCTCATATGCTTTCCGTTCCTTCTCTTCTATGATTCGGGGCCTGGAATGGTTAACCAGTGCAAGTAGAGTTGAGCCTCCATTCAACACATACTGTGGGGAGGCCCTGCCCAGGCCTTGGTTTGCTCGCTTTCACCTCTCATGGTAACACTGTGGTCTCTCCTAAGCTACACAACCTGTTCTATCTGCTCGTCCTCCACAGTGTATGAACATTTCCTTGACCTGAATGCCATCAAATATTGCTGAAAGGCCATGAATAGTTGATATTATAAATAATCTGTGAGAACTACATATAACTGGGGCACTGTTTCATGTCAGTTCATGAAATTCAAAAGAAATACGTCAGGCTTGACACCACTCATAGCCTCATATTTCACAAAGTATATTTCCTTTGCATCAAGACACTATAATAGTGCCTTTCCAGATGTTCATGTGTGTGAATTCAGCATGCCACTTTTCCCCTGCTTTCAGATGTGAAGGTTGTGCATGCTTGCACAAATTCAAAGGAAATGCATCATGCTTCTCACATAGGGTCATCTTACATAGTATATTTCCTTTGTATCAAATGACTATATCACTGTCTTGCACAATGTTTCTGTTCGCATTCAGCATGCTACTGATTCTTTGCATTCAGATGAAAAGGCCATGCTGCTCGTATGAATTCAAAGGGAATGTGACACGCTTGTCGCTACACAGGGGCTAATTTCATGAAAGTCCATTTCATTTCAAGGTGAGTCTGCCTATCTGCTCCTTTCAGGTGCACAGGTTTGGGGGTTTGAGATCTCAGGGACTGTGTGTCATGCCTGCTCAGATTGTTCCAGAGCATCACCAAACACAAAATGCATGTCATTCCAAAATAAGTGGCTAAATCTGACAAAGCATCCTGTCTGAAATGACATTAAACGAACCTGTTGTTGATCTGTTGTTTGTTTTCTCCCCTCACCCTCTGATCCACAGTCTTTATTTAGCTCGACATGTTGTTGGCTTTTTACTTGTCTTGTTAAAGGTGGACTAAAGTTATGTGTTTTAAAGGGACAGTATCCGGCTCATTGTTCTGCATTTAGGTGAGAGGCGTTGCTGTGTTCTGCCCACCATTCACCTTCATGGCCAGGGGTCTGGAAATAACATTGTGTGGAGGTTTATATGGGGAGGGGGTTAACATTTTTTCCTTTTCTTTTTTTCTTTAGCGTGATCGTACAGTTTGGTCAAAGACCTTGAATCAATGTATGATCGGATTTCAAGCTGCATCACAGATGTTTTCTGGCACAGTTTTCTCGGTCTCTGAATTCATTAGCAGCTCTCTTTCAATGATTAATGGAGTGTTTGCGGCTCTGTTTGCTTTGGGAAGAGGCTGTTGGAGGTAGTTGAGGCCGGAGGAGGAGGTTATGAATGCAATTGTTAAATAAGGGAAACAAAAACAGACTGCACAGTGGGTGCAATGCAAACTGGACATTAATCAACATTATAACCTCACCCTGCTGATCGTATTTTTAAAATCATTTTCTTATCTGACTGGAGGCTTGAAGCGCTCAGGATGTCATATGTTGTACAGATTATAGAGCTGTGAGTCCTGATTTTTTTTACATTTAGTTTCTTTACCCAGTATAATTCAAGACAGACTTTATTTTATTCATATAGGAGTTCAGTTAGAGCCAAAACACTTTTTATTATTTTTCACATTCCACCTAGAGTCATATCCTGCACTTAGACTTTCTGATGAGAGATTTATGCTCTCGCTTGTTTCATCACTGATGCTTCTTATCACACGACAATGTTGGAAAGTTATCGAGGTCATGGTGCTGCAAATACAGTGAGACACTAAATCAGAATCCCACCTGGTGATATTTTTTTTCACAACTTTTTTCAAACCTTATGACAATTTTCTTTAAAAAGTAACACTACTACTCATACTTTTTACGGGTTTGTGTTGGAAATATTTCACTGTGCAATTTTTTTGTTATAGCTTCAGTACAGCTTTGTGCCATTTAGGAAGACAAACTCGAAAATCTTAAAGCTTCACTTCTGCATCTTTAGAGACTCCAGCATGTGTTATGAACAAGTTAAGGTGCTATTGTGATACTTTGCCACGTGTGCATTTCCTCAAAGTGTGATTCCGACACGACATTATTCTCACTTTCCATCCTCATATGTTTCATCATTTATTCACTTCTAATTTATACTCCATGTAAAAGATGTTCAGAACAGAATTTTTTATAGACTACACAATGGCTGATTAAGTTTCTAACAGTGCACCTGGTGTGAAAAGTGTTTTGTGAACAGAGCTTCAACTGTAGTTTCACCTCTAGTGTGAAGGAAACTGGAATATTTTATCTGCAGCATCTTCAACTGATCTTTATTTTTTTACTGAATAAACTCTCCGCAGATTTTTCAATGAGAGGCAGGGCAGCTCCCAGGGACAGCAACTCCTCAGGAAACAATCCTCATACTTGTGCCTGCATGGAAAAACACTGTGAAGGTGCAAAAACACAAGACAGAAAGAAAAAAAAAACATGACAGTGAAGAAAACCCTCCCCAACCTTCCAACATCCTTCCCTTGTTTGTTTGCATCTTGTACGCTGGAAATAGTCCACGTCGGAGGTTGCTGACATGCACTGGGGTGTAAAGTTGGGCGCTCACCTTAAACACAGTAAATCCTGTGAGGACAAGCGGGGACAGCCGAGGGCCCGGTGGTCCCCACCGACACGTCCAGTGCCAGTAAGCAGGCGCTGCCATAGGAAGCCCGTTGTGTGGCGTCCTCCGGTCGTGACCAGGATGATTAAGAGTTCCTTCCTTTCCAGCTCACAGGGGCATTGTCCCGGTGAACAGACAGGCTGCCGACACCTAGTCCCGGCGAGGAAGTGAGTCTCTCACAGTTAGTCCAAGGAGCAGGAGAGAGGCCCAACACTGACGGCACATTCCAATCTAAACAGACCTCTTCATTAAACTCTGAGAAGTCAAATGGGAATAACGAGGAAGCATTTAATTCAGTAAATCAACAAGGGTTGAGTCAGGAATAGCCTGAAGTCTCCTGTTGTGCCAGAGATTCCCAACATGGAGGAGGAAACCCTCCCAAGAGGTCGTCAGATAAATCTGAGAGGTCATGAGGTGATTAAGAGGAAATAACTGGAAAAAAACATTTCTGCTACATGAAGTGTTTGTACTTTTCCATGTTTTGTTTTTTCTTTTTTTTTTAACCTGTCATTGAGAAATACTAAATAATTTCACTTTTTAGGCCTATGAAAGTATTCAGATGAAACAATCTGTAAATCTTTGTTTGTGACAGCGATGATAAATGTCTCCAAGGAGACTTTCCTGCACTTTGCTTTGCTCACACTAGTGGTTCACAATCTTTTTGACCTCTGACTCCATGGAATGAGGCAACACGGTCTGCATGGAAACCTTGATAGCTTCAGTGAAAACATGAGTTATTAGCAGCTTAGTCAAAGACTGACTTTCTCTCAGACAGTTTCACAGATGAAGAAAAGAAAAAATCCTGCATTTCATAAAAAAAAGTTTAAAAATGACAAGAAAACCGATAAGGAACATATGTTTTAATCATTGGACCCTTTGGGCTGTCTTCAGCTGGGAAATATTGGCTTGTGATACACTTCACTTGTCTCAGGAATATCATCATTTATCCTGTGGGTCTTCATTTGCAGCAAGCTGTCTTATAAAACCTCCTTTGGGAGATTAGACTGTGTATATTTTACATTTTCTGTGTCACTAAATATCATTGAGAAAAGACAGACTTTTGTGCACTGGGCTCATAACAGCCTGCAGTTCAGTGGATTCGAGAAGACAACATTTATTACTTTTTGTCTCACTGAAGCCAATTTTTGTTGGAGCAAAACTACAAAAATCCAAAGCTACATGCAGAAATGTGCGCAGTTCAACAATGCTTGTAGCTGCGCTTTCTGCAGATTGTTTTTGATTAGATGGAGCAAAGTAACAACATGCTCGTACAGCCACGCTCACATCATCATAACGCAGTAAAAAACAAGCCGTTAAATAAACCAAACTATTGGACAAATGTGAATTTTGACCAGATGATGGCACCAGATGAAAAGTCGGGAGACGAACGAAGTTCACAAAGACCACAAATGCCTGCACCAAATTGCAAAGCAATCCATCTGATAGTTTTCTCTCTGGGCCTGAAACGTCAGCGTCATGGCGGCGCTGGAGGAGAAGTCAGAGGATCAACAAAACCATTAGGATTCATCCTCTGGGAATCATAAATGTCTGTGCAAATTTCCTACAGCCACTCGGCAGTGTAGCGCCTGCTGAGAATGAATGAATGTGTTTTCCTCATACAAGTATTTCAGAGAAATATGACACCAGACTACATGTAATGTATAAATATAGATCTTTATTCATTTATTTACTTCATATGCTCAGTTAACAGTGTTGGGAACATTACTTTCATTAAAACTACCTGGTTGCACTACGTCAACAACAGCTAGGAGGAAGGTCGGAGCTGCTGCAGGGGTTAACAGTCGTGGTTATTTGTAAAGAAATGCAATAAAATCCAACATCCAAACTTCTCTTTGTGATCAGGGTGAAATCTTTGAAAGGTACTGTGACAGCAGAAAATAACCGTTCATATGAAGCTGGAAATGTACGACAGAATTACAAGAACATAATCCATTAAATGAAAGCAATACATCGATGATGTTAGGCCGGCAAGAAATAATACAACAAATACTGCAAACGTTAATTTTCTTACTATGTAGCTTACTACAGATAAGAGTTAAATACAAGCAAAAAATAAAATCTTTGTAACATGTGACCCTCAACACTGTTTTATAATAATATACCTTTAAAATACAAAAATTATACTTGACAAAGGCTCTGTTTCTCCAGACATGGATGAGGCCTGAAGTGTTGGACTAGACTTAATACATGTCTGGGAAATGGCCTGAAAAAGTATCAGTGCATTATCAATTCTCCACATAAACAATAATTTGGTCACAAACATAAAACCTCATTTGGAAATGCACCAGTTGGAAACATCCACTGCACACCATTTGACAAATACTGTGTCTTTAGTGGTCAAAAAACACAAGCTAGCTGTGTTTCTACAGAATGTGTGTGTGCTGAAACCAGCGAGACTGAAGGTTTTGGTTCGTAAATCTCTCTCTCTTTTTTTTTTTTTAAAAATAAATTGCTCAATGTGGAGATTTTACATGTTAATTAATGTAACAGTGAGTCACAACAGACTGCTGCTAACTTCACACACACGTAGAGTTTCTGAAACCTGCACTGCAAGCTTCACTAGCACAAGATAAAGGACGGAGAATATCCAACGTAGCTCTTTCTGCAGAAGCAGATTCGCTCAGCTTTTACTATCAGTGATTACAGCAGCACAAACAGCATATAAGTCTGGAACTAAACATCAGGGTATTACATGTTGACATCAGGAAGACTGAGCTGGAAAATCCTTTGGTTAACTTTTACGTAACAATCTAAACAGAGGTGGAGTACTACGTGGCAGTGTTTACAATCTATTTAAATACACAATTCATTTAACTAGTGCTTTCTGATTAAACTGTTCCTATGAAGTCTTGTTCTCATCTCATGTTTCTAACTAAATCTGTACACAAGAAAATACACAAATCTGGTTTGCGGCTTACTTTCTTTTGAGTTTTTACCAAAAAACACAACAAGTCAACATCCGACTGGGACAGGAGGAGGAGTGTACTCATGCAGTAACTCATCATTTAATCGTTTTCATGGTCGAGCTGTAATGTTAAATCTGTTCTTACTGTCAGCTCTACCCTGTTTCCCCCATTAATGTCTGATTTTCCATAACCTAAGAGAACTTAAAAAACATCCGTTCAGTCCAGAGTCCTCCTTCTCTTCCGTCACTCTGGGTCAACCTGAGTTACTGAGCTGAATTTTTTATTTTTATTTTTTTAAAAATAAAATCAGAATAGAAATATCTTCAAATAAGAGACGTTTATCATTAATATTCATTTTGTTTCATCTGTTTTTGCTTTGAGCATAAATTAACCTTCACATGGACGGATGTAGCCACATTACAAAAACAACTTTTCTTTGACTTTCTTTTCCACAAATTCACTTTCTTGTTTTCACTTCTTCAAAAAATAACATTAAAATACATTTAAACAGCCTGATTAGACCTCTTTCTTTCAGTCCTAGATGCTTTGTCTTCATCATCATCAAAGGTTTGTTCAGATCTGTGCTACAGTTGGGATCATTGTGGTTTGTTTCACAGTAGATCAAAGAAATACCTGAGCCTGTTTTCAGCTGTTTGACATATCACAGTGAATGTGGAACGGACCAGCAGCATTGACGTGAGCCTACGCCTGAAAACTGGAAAGGAATCAACGCACAGCAGGTTTCCTTTTTGTTGCACAGCAGACGCTCCAGAAGTTGGAAGATGCAGAGGTTTACAGTCAAGCGGATTCATGAGCGTCTTTTCTTAACACTCGAAGAGGGAATCTCGTGTTTCCCCCTCAAACGTTGCCACACAACGGTCCGGAGATAAGAGTCAAAACAGAGGAGAACAAAGCAAAGGCCTTGAGGCTGTCAGTCTCAGAGTCTCCAGGGGTGAAACAGGAGGTTACACAGGAGGGGTGGAGTAACGCACCACGTAGTTGTAGTCGGGCGGCGGGCTGTGACACTCCAGGCTGGCATCCAGAGCTGAGTCGTCCAGACTCAAGTCTAAAGGAGGAACCGTGGGTGGATATTTCTCCTTCTCTGCGTCACTCAGCACAGACTCTTTACTCTTACTCACCGCCTTCATCCTGAAAACACAAAGACATACAACTTAAATATGGAGGATAAATATCGCCATCTTAGTCCTCCAACCTCTGAACCCAAAAGGAAAATAATATCATTTATCAGTCAGAAACTGTAAAAACAATAAGAATGATTGCATTTTCAGCTACTCAAAGGTTTTTGAACTCATCTGTGATGTGCCATTCTGTTGCATAAGCAAACCAAGTTACACTTAAAACTGTGATATCTCATTAAAATGACTTTATTCTATGTGTCTCTTTTAAATATTTTCTGATTTACAAAAAACAAAAAATTCTGTGCTTCTTGGTGTAATTAAGAAGCCATTAGTGATTCAACTAAGACCAACAATTGCTTAACAAAAATTCACAGACGTTTCGGTTTAACTGCAGGCTGTGTTTACACAGAGCAGAAGTCCAACTTTTGTTTTTTCTTGTTTTTATGATTTATGACAATAAACTTTGTCATTCAGCACAAAAGACTTTTTTTCAAGTGTTGTGGACTTCTGGCCATGGTTGCCATGTTTCCAAATAGGTGCAGACGTTATGAGCCCAAAGTCAATAACAATGTGACAGAAAGTGACAGAGGGGGTTTAAATACATAGCACTAAAATGACAATTCAAGGCAGCTGTGGTTGCAACATAACAACACACACAAAAAATCATTCACATGCTTAAGAACAACCTAAAAACACAGACCAACCTGTCACTGAGATGTGAGAATTGTATTTATAGCGATACAGTATTTATTTAGAAAGCTTTCCTCTCTATTTCATCATGACAATTTTTAACCATATCAGTTAAAAAAACTATTTTTACAGCAATTCTTAAAGAAAAACAGTAACATATTTTCTGGTTTCTGCTTCTCAAACATGAAGCTTTAATGCTTTTCTCAGTTTTAGATCAATGTAAAATAAATACTCTTTGATTAAATGGATAAAATAATGCATTTAAAGATGTCACATTTGGCTTTGGGTTGATGTGTCAGACTTTTTTCTTTTCTTTTACCATTATTGACAATTTTTAACATAAAAGATGAATTTATTATTCAAAAAATTAAAATAATCAGTAGTTGGGGCTATGCGTCAGCCTTTATGGCCAGCTGAAAACAGTGATGCAGCCTTGTCAGTGGAGTCACATCGTCAGGCCTCTCCAAGTAATAGGCTCCTAATTGCAAAAACACTGAATAAACAAGCAACAGACACAACAAATCAGTTTGGCATGACAGGATGATCAGCTGACATCCTGACCAAGAAGTGACACAGGACTAAAAACACTTCTGTCCTCATTATTGACAAAACATTTTAAGCCCTTTTGCAAAGACTTTTTATAGCATTGTATCATCTGTGAAATGAATCTGGCTGCTAAAATGTAGACAATCTGACAATCTGTGTGAATATCGGTGCCTTTAGTGGGAACAGGTAAACAACAAGCTGTGCACTTTAATATAATGTGCATGATATCAAGTTCTTTCTTTCCTGGCAGGTTTCTTTTTCTCCAGGACAACTTGAATCGGCTCCCCTCACAATAGAGAGCTGTTTGGATATTCTTTGATTTAAAAACTGCCCCTTGTGAAGCTGTACAATCACACCAACCTTCCCTCATTCACGTATGATGTAATCAATCATCCTGAGCTTTTCTGCTTCATTTGATGCCCAGAATATGAGTAATTGCCTGTTATTGTCTCGGGCGTTGCTAAGGGTTTCCAGGGCTCCTCTCTCAAGGCTAAAGGGTCAATGCCCAGCAGGGGGAAGGGACGCCGCTGTACTGGAATGTCACTCTAATGAAGAAACTACCTGGTAAACCAGGCATCAAAATAGTTAACAATAGTACAGTGTTGTCTTGCCAATGCCAGGCGCAGGGTGGAGGTACAATTGAACCACAGGAAACAAAGTGAGCCAGGGTAAAGAAATCACTTTGTCCTGACCTGGAATGCTTAGTAGTTTCACTGTTTTTTTTTTTTTGTTTTTTTTATCACTTTAAAAGCAAAATGTGAAAACAAACAGCTTCAAGTGTGAATATTAGCTGGTTTTATTGTCTAAGATTCAGTGTTGCACAAAACAAAACTCGTACTGTTGTGAATTTTAGCAACAGCAGTTTATCTCCTAAAAATCTACTGTGTAATGTTGAGGGAGGTTCCCTGAACACCACTGTTCAATCAGCGCTCATCAAGAGTTGTCCTACTGGCAGAGAAGTGAGTCTAGAGAAGCAGTGAGGCCTGGGGGAGCATCAGGTGGGCTGGTATACGAAAGAATTACAGCAGGGGAGGCCCTTTAAAACCCTCCCGAGTTCAAAGGTGGCAGTGATTGAGCGGCTGCCCAGCAAGGAAGTCCTCCTCTTAAAATATAGATCATTCTCTGGATGCCTGGGCTGCTTCATTCTGCCACGCTGAGGGACGAGCAGGCCTGCAGTGAGTCCTCCACTCTCAGTTTAGAGATCTGAAGGACGCTGTGGGCGGGTGGGTGTGAGTTTGGCGAGCTGTAAATTAATTACAGCGCTCTAGAGCGTGTCGTTAACTCTGAGTGCGTCTCATAAGTTACTTTCCCAGCACTTGTTTACATGTTCACTCTTAATAATTTATACGTGCTTTTATGTCGTTTTCACGAGTTTTGAATCTTTCCCTCTTCAACTTAGCAGAGATTTGAAAGATTTGCTCTGGGACAATTTACTTCACTGTCGTTCCTCCTTTAAATCCTTTGAGTGCAAGCCACAACACTTTGAAGGAGCATTAATAGTTGCTACTGTGCAGGGAGCAGCAGAAGAATGAGAAAAGGTTTAAAGTGTAATTACTGAGTTCAGGGGTACGACCCTGTAAATTAACCCTGCCACTGAGCTGCTATAAACTTCACATGTAAGCCTCAAGACACCTACAGAGAGCCTCATAAGAAAAAGATTTACAGAAATCTCTCCCATATTTCACTTTTTCCTTGAATAACCTCTAAAATGAGACCACATTGTCTCAATGTTTTCCTCCTTGAATTTTTTTTTTCCAACATCCACATCTTAAAGTCATCAAAGATCTGCACGATCTCAGAGAAAGACTTTGTCTACGTCACGCCTTTGAGATTATGTGTATTTGTTGCTTAGCACTGCATTATAGCAGACAGCCATGACTCATAAGTTAAGTCAGTCTGGGAGGTATCTCATTCAGGCCGCTCTTGGAGAAAACAAAGAGTTTTTAATGTGTTCTCTTAAAACAGCCAAACCTCTCTCTGCTTTTGTGTCGAGTCCTTCAGTTTGTCACCTTCAAGCTTTTTTCCCTCCCACTCCTCCTTTGTGCCGCTGTCCCTCACGCATGGTGTCCTCAGACAAAAGGGAAAACTAGCCGCTGACTTCTTTTTAAGGCAGAAGAAACTCTGTGTTTGTGTGTTGTATGACAGTTATAGCGTCTACATTCCAGCACAGTGGGGAGGGTTTCCAAGCAGGTACTTTGCAGTGTTTTCTGGTGTGTTTGTGTGTGTTGGTTCGCCTCTCGCAGGGCATGTGGAGGAGTGGTGCAGTGTACGTACGCCAGAGCCATGATGCTCAGAGGTCGGCCTGCCAGTGATTCAAAGCGCATCAGTGTCTTCATGTTGTCAGAGGAAAGGCCCATCCCGCTGTCCGACTGACCCTGACAAAGATGGAGACACAGAGGGGGAATTATTAACTCGCTAATCCCTGAAACCTGCCAGAAAGGCATCTCGTGTTTTTTAAAAAGGGTAACACCAGCTCACACTTGATTCCAGGTTCATTTAATTTTGGAAAATTAATAATTAAAGAATTAAAATTTGTGCAATTTTAACTTTATTACACTGCACAAAATATGTTTTGTTTGCTCTTCCAGCCATTGTTGTTCCATTTCCATAGAGGTGCAGGTCTTTATAGTGCAGTGAAAAATGAGCCCACAGTGAGTTAAAATGTCACAAGAGCAGAAAACACCCGGAATCAGCTTGTGGTTCAGAGGGTTACAACCATCATTTGCCTTTGCTTTGCTATTTTATATTAAAAGCATCTAAGGAATAAATCTAAGTATTGTAGTAAGTTAGTAAAATTTTAATGTTGTAGAACTTCTCAAAACCAAAGTTTAAAGCAAATACTATGAGAAGGACTCCAGGGAATTATCTAGACAGACTGTGTTCCCATGCATAGCAATATCATAGTTATGAGGCTTATAATGGATTTGATGTTATTTGGAATATGGCACTTATATGGAGCACAGAGAAATCTGGCTATTCATATCTTTATATCCATGATAAATACTAGTGTGTGGTTACTGATATGTATGCCAGTTTCTTTCAAAGTACTCCAATTAGCAAATTTGGAAGAAGGCTTATCCAGCTTCCTGAAATCATGTGCAACTACAAAAATGGGACACTTGATAAATCTGACCGGATGTAGGATCCTTAAGTCCGTGTAAACTAAAGAACACAACAAACTATTTAAGTAAATGTGTCACAAGCTCAGCTGATTTGAAACTGAGAAAAAGTTTGCTGAAACTGAACTAAAAACTAAAAACAAAGAGAAACGTTTTCAAATTCATGCTATACACTGTCATACAGTTAAACTGTAAATAACAAAATTTAACTTCCTGCATGAAGCTCAGATCTTGTTTCAGGAAAGTTACGGTTCTTGTTATGTGTCTGTTTCTGGTTTTGTTGTCTGAATAACTCACCTCGTGGTTCTCATTCGTCCCGTCCTCCATGGTAACCTCGTCGAAGGTTTTTACGCTAGCAGGACGGATCTTAATGTTCCTGAAAAAAATATTTCAAAGCTTAAGAATAACACCTTAAAATGTTCAGTTACTGTTTAGAGACTCCTTTGATTACACTGGAGGCAAAAAGGCAAAGTTCAGCAACAAAACCGCAGGAACTTAATCACTTACATCAACAATGTGGTGCATCTATGACATTGTCCTTTGAAAACACACCGTGTTTGCTTTGCATTTCAACACTCAGAGGCCAAAACGGCAGCTTAATTTAACTAAAGGGCTAACTGTCATTACTGCTTTTCAGCACCTCCTCAATAAACACGCTTGGAGGACCTGTGAAAATCCAAGAGCTCAACAAATATTATTTTAGGTGGACGTAAATCTTGTGGCCGGCTCTAAGGTTTTTCAGGGAAATTCCTCACAGGAGCCACAACACTGAAAGCTGCCATCGTATATTTCTTATCATGCGCCAATCAGGTCTGTCATTGTCCTCCAGTCCGACCTACATGGTCTCCTGCTCTCCTCCTCCTGCGTTTAGTCTGAGCGTGACAGGAACAATAACTGTTTTAGATATTTTTCAGTGTGAAATGGGAAAATGATTTAGGCATTTCCTTTGAAAAACAGACTCTGCGCTGTTTGCCTATAACAGTCTGAGGATTGGTTTACATGTACGTCAGACAAGGTGATTTATTTCCTTTGAATGTCTTAACAAGTTCATAGGGGAGTGCAACACATTTGAGCCAACAAGACCAAGAGTTTATGGCCAAGCTAACAGCTCTGTGTGGCTCTACGTGGGCACAGCTGTGTTTATTGGTTTTGTGGGAATATGATCATAAAATCAAATACTAGACAAATATAAATTTTTACCCGATGATGGTTCTAGATTAAAAGTTACAGGAGACAGAGTGGTTACAGTTTATCCTGAGGGGGACATGAATGTCGATGCCAGATTTCAAGGCTAAACACTCAAAACCGCAAACGTCAGGTGTAGACAAGTCTGGGGAGTACCAAAATCATCAGACCATGAATGTCTGTGAAAAATTGTGTGCAAAACCTTTCAGTAGATATTCAAATATTTTATGAGTGAAGGCTCTAGCCTGCTCTTGGTGCAGGAAGAAAATCAAGGAGATCTCCAGAGCAAGAGGGATTTTACACTAATGTCTGAGAAAAATTTATCTGCAATCCGTCCAACTGTTGTGGAACTTTTCACCAAAAAGTTGGATCAACAAATCAGTGACACTCATCCTCACCAGTTGCTTCCTGAGTTGCGCTGGGAAACAGGTCGTGTCGGTGTCTCCTCTGATATCACTGTGGCGGTCTGGTCTCCCACCTTCGCCAGCAAGGCTGTGTTGATGGGTATGTAGTGCTTACCCTCCTAAACCAATGAGACAAGCAGATTTATGCGTTGATGCGATGTGCGCTATGCAAACACACACATGCACAGGTTGTGGTGAGCAGCCAAAGAAACTAGAGTCATGCCTAATAAATCCATAACAACGTCCATGAGGTCAGAGCAGGCGGCGGCAGAGTTCACGACCGGCCTTCCTGCTCTGCAACAAAAGCTTTATTAATGATTGTCAAACCCCTTCACTGCTCCCTCTGTCCAGTCTGAAGTGTTTATCATGAAGATAGCTTTCACAGACTCATTTGTAACGCAACATGCTTCAGTTTTAATGCGATGTGAGGTGTGACCTTGTCGTTATCTCTTATTACTTCACTGGACGTAGAAGTAGTGAAATATAATTCCTTTTCATTGCGTGTTTCCTGCAGTAATGTATGCCGAGAAGCCTGTTCTCCTCAGTGGAAGGAAGATTCTTGAAAATACTGATGACTGCCAACGATCTGGTTTTGTTTCAATTAGTTTTTCTATCCTGACAGCTGATGCTGAGTGCTGTTCTTTTGTTTGGTCATATTCGTTTGAATGGAGAATATGATATACAGTCTTTTAAGGGTTTATTTGAAATAGAGATAGTTGCATGCAGAATGGTATACTATGATGTAAAAAGCAGCACATCCCATTTTTATTGCATTTCGGATTCTCTGTCTCACTGATGATTATGATTAATAACATGTTCAGAGCTCAGAGCAAAGTCTGCTTGGATCCACATCACACACAGAGGTGAGACATGCGGCCACAGAAAGTGACCCTACCTAAACTTAACACCACAAGTCCTAATGCTCACTTTTCATTTATTGTCCAGATTAGATTTTTTATTTGTTTGTTCACATTATTTAAAAAAAAAAAAAAAAGGTAATATCAGATTCCAGTGTGAACTGATCATGGTCTTCTATTTCTTACGACATCTGTCAGTGCCTTTGGACAGGACTCCTGCAGCAAACACTCAGTTCAGGCAAGTGACGTTAGATTTTTGTGAATTCCCATAGGACTGTTTAGACTGCAGAAAATCTGACCTGTGTCTGATTTAGGATCACATGTGGAAGTGATGCAAATAATAATTAACGATTCAGATCCAGTGTGATTTCACACAACAAATCAGATCGGACTTACATATGAGCAAACAAAAAATTAAATATCAGATGTAGGCAACTTTTGCCTGAACATAGTCTCTGAAAAACTGACCTAATGATCGCTAAATTCCATTTAGCTGCTCTGTTTCCATGTCTTGATATCACTATACTGTCGTTATTTATTGGGCACTTGAACGGAACAGAACCATCATTAACGGCATTACAAACTAAACTGTCAGCTGTAAAAAAGGCAAGTGCATGTAAAAGTAATGTTTCCTTTCAGTTTATTATATTTGCACAATAACCACATACCATGAAGTGCTATTTGCAGACCTGACAACTATTTTGCCCCCTGACAGCCGTATAAAATCTACAAACACTTTGTGGCAGTTAACAGCAATCATACCAGACAATGCTAACTTGCATCACACTGGTAATTACATTGTTTTTCCATGTGTTTTGAAGTGTGGTTCCTCCTATGAGGCTGATAGTGCAATTTCAAAGGGAACCAAGTGTTTGTGTTGAGTGTTACTTCCTTTCTCAGTTACACTGAGCGTCCCCCTTGGTGAGACTCTGCACTGAAACGTCTTTATATGCAGCGCGCTGATCATCAGCCCTGCCTGCTGAATATCTGCAGCCTTTGTGACTCATGCTGCAGATCTAGTGACTAATATCGCTAAAATTGTTCCATAAAGCAACAGGATGGTCAGCATTCCTCAAACATGTGTGTAATTTAACTAGTAATATCTTACTGAGGTGTTTGTCAGTTAGTTAGTTAGTTAGGTGTACCATGTGGTAATACCATCAATTTATCGTTTCGTTTCACCCCAGAGCCCAACAGTGAAGCTTGAACTAATATGGAGTCGTACCTGTTGCACGCTGGCCTGAAGCAAGTCTCCCAGCCTTTCCACCAGCTCAGTGAAGGTGGGTCGCTCCTGTGGCTCACCCTGCCAGCAGTCCAGCATCGTCTGATATCTGTGAGTACAGAACACACAACTGAATACACACTGCAAGACAGACATATAGTCTTCAGCTTCTCTGGATAGACGGACTTAACGCTCACGCCAAGATCAACATACGATCCATGTGGGTTGATGTATCGTAAAATGTAACATCTTCAGGAAGAAAAACATCAACCTCAGGTCTGGTGGTCCTTTGTCTTTTCATCTTCAGTAAACAAACCTCCTTGCACTTAGCAACCACATCTGGTCCACCTCCGATTCAACTGTCATTTAGACCATTCGTACATCTTGTTCTGTATTTTGAAGTAATCCTGAGCCTCTGGGACTGTATCTGACTCTCTGTTGGTGTTGGGTGTGAAGACAGCCTTGCTCAGGTCTCTGACAAGCTGTCAGCATCTCTGCTCATGTGGGAGGACTGAGAGCCTTTATTTGAGTTTCCATTGCTGTGGCCTGCCTCATTTCGTGGAGGAATTTAGAAACAGAGCACCACGGAGGCTGTTTAAATTGTGTTCACACCGTGTTACTGATTGGGATCTGTCAATGATGGACCCCTATTCTGTTTCTGTTACAGCAACCACCACTTTCCCCATAGAGAGCCTTGGTTTTATATAAATAAAACCATTATGATCCCCTTTTGGCATCATATTTAGTCACTCTCAGGTCTGAGGACTTGGACAAGCTGTTGGCGTCTTGCTGCTTCATCGACTCCACCTCCTCTCCATCTGTGTTTGCATGTGTCTGCTCTGCTCAGTGTTGTCAGGCCCGACTGAAAGAGGCCGAGCGGCTGTGATTCCCACCTTAATGAATGTAGAGCGCACTCGTCCAGGTGGTAGCCCTCCTAACAGTGACAGGATGTGGATGATCACAGCCTCTATGCATATCGTTGAGGAGGAAGTGCACACATTGTATGACTGCACAATTTAGGCCACATTTCCTGCCTGGTTCATAATGAGAATAAATAGCAGGGCTCCACATGTTTTGGGAGTTTGGTGTTTCTGAGGGGGGGAAAGATTCTGCAGACATGAGCTACTTCGTCCGGTTGGGCGGCTGTAGGATGGGAAATGAGCATCCTTTTTTATTGTGCTCCCACTCTCCGTGTAGCATCCGCTAAATTCCTCTGCGATGCATCATGACGGGGGATCTTATTAACAGGCGGCAGACAACATTCCTGATGGGCAGCAGTGGCACAAACTATACGACACTGCCTGCAACCTCATGTGTTTTTCATCATTCTTCTATTCCCAGTTTGGGATGGGAGGTCACGGTGTCAAAACTTGGGCTTACGAACACCTGTGATCAACTGCAGAGCTCTGGAGGGGATCAACAGAACACAACCCTCTGACTGAGTGCACTGCTGTGCATCCCATTTGAACTGATATCAGCAAGTTTTATCTTGGCTTTAAATTTGAGGCAGGCCTCACAGTCATAAGAATGCAAAATATGTAATCTGGCGAGTCAATGGACTGCCTGAATTGTGATGGAAAGTACGAGAGATCGTTGGCTCTGACTGAAACCTGCAGTCTGGATTAGATTTTGTGTATCATTTCCAATCAGTGTCTCTTTTGTGTAGCTGATAAATTCATTCAGTTAGCTTTACTTGGCGCATGATGCTTTAGTGCTCTGGACCTTTGATACTACATCACTATTAGGCAGAAGTGCAGCATTATGCTTTCAAAATAAATAAGGTTTGCAAAGTTTAACCCAGTGAGTCGTTTTAAACTAAAACCAGACACAACGTATGCACACATGTTGTGGGGAAAGCTCAGGCAGTGATTGCTGGGTTCTGATCAGTTGCACATTGGATAGAAGAGTCTTATTTCAAAAAACTCTGACTAGCTGCATCAGTGAATGACAGCAACGACACCAAAGACGAGGACTCTGTGTTCTCCCACAGATATTTATGTCTGGTAGAATCCTCCGATCCCAGCTCAAAAACCCTCCTCACTGGGGGGAACTTGGGCTCCAGACGCGGCATTTAAATGTGGTGCTCAGTTACATTTGCGCCACTGTCAGTCAGAAACTACTTCAGAGCTTCAAGCTTGCCGCTGCAGAGATAATCAGTAGCTAATGTTTCCTCCTGCAAAATACAGAGCAGGATTACCCATGATTGTTATCAGGCACCCCTGACCTGCTGGTGTGACTGCAAAGAGGGAGAAGGAAACAATGCTTCCTCTTAGTCGCGTATCGATATGGGAGGCTTTTACTTGCAGCTCAGCCTGTGTGGGGACAATATACAGAGCTGGCTCTCTGGGATAAACATGACTTCTGTAGCTATAGGAAGGCCAAACATTTACAACAAATGACAGTTAAGCGGGATATCAGTCTTTTTTATAGCATAAACTACCTCCATCATTTTTTTTCACATTTTACATGATAGAACAGATAATCAGCACATAAAGTACATTTGTTGCTCACAAACAGTCTACTTCACTGTTCCCTAGAGATGGACAGCACACATTTTACCTTCATTTCTTGTTTCTCTTGTTTACTGAAGTATACTAAATCCTGAGGAGATTTTGGGTGTTTCTCCTCCTGCCACATTTTTACTTCCTGTGGGCTTATTTTTTACTGCAATATAAAATCCAGCACCTATATGAAAAGAATACAACCATGGCTACAAGTAGAGAGAACTCAGACGTTTCTTTTGTGTTGTATTACAAAGTTATAATGATAAATAAAATAAGCAATCAAAGAAATTCAGCTTTATATATATATATATATATATATATATATAAAGCTGAATTTCTTTGATTGCTTATTTTATTAAAAAAAAAAAAACAAAAAAACATGGAATGAACATGTACAACATTTCCATGGTGCCCTCAGGTGCTACCAATACTTGAACCAGTGGTGGTTTTACATACTATAGATAATTGACTGCTCAACTTTTTGACGTGTTTACTTGTCTCCTCTCTGCTTTGTGTAAACACAAACTGCAGTTTAGTCCAGCTCAGCGGAAAAGTCCCTGAATTGTTGGTAACAACGGAGTCACTAACGACTTGTCAGTGGCACAGATTAATGGTCCAGAATTATTTGATTTTTACAGAATCTGCTCAGACTACGTGATTTATATTTGCTAAATTTACAAAGACAAATGTCTTTCAAACCTGTCAGCGAGTTTTGTTGTTCTGAGGTTTAATAGGGTTTCTTACATTTCAGAGGAAGAATATTCTGGTGCCCTCATTCTGGTTCCCTCTTTCAGTCGGCAACAAAATTCTTCATCAATCTGGACACCAGGATACGGGGAGGCACCTGGGAACGGAAAGAAAGGGACATATTCATTACATTTATTTATAGTTATTTGTTATGCATAAAAAAGCCATTGTCTTTGTGTTGAGTATAATATATCGCTATGGACCATGTGAGGAAAAGAAAGTATTAAGAAAAACAATAGTACACATTCTTTTCTATGCGTAGATTACTTAATGATGAACAGGCGCTGAGCGACCAATTGACAACCGCTGGTGTAGACAAATGAAGTCAACACTAAAGTGCAAAAACTGCTGTTCCTCAAATGGCCACTTGAGGCTGACTCGAAAAGTGAATCAGTCCCCATAGATCGCCATATTAAAATGCTCAAATTTAGAGCAGCAATACAGCCTGGTACAACAAACAAATTTGGTCTTGACAGCAAAGTTTCCTGTTCATGAAAACCATGAATAAATACATTTTCATATGATGACTTTAAGTTGTGCATAACTACAGTTGTGGACACTTTAAGTTACAGGTAGATGTAGTCACAGGACAGCCCATGACCCAAAGATGTCTGCACAGATAACCTTATCTCAGTTACAAAACAAAACCTGCCTGATCTCTGTTGCAATCTTGATTTCCCTCTGCACACGTTAAACTTCCTTAACTTGTGAAAGTAACTCCAATATATAATCAAATTTATTTGCAAGCTCTTGCACAGAGTGTAGCAGCTCTTACATACACGTTTACCCACTAAATTGTTTGAAAAAATAAATATGAAGGACTTTTGATAAGAAATAGTTGGATGAAAGTTCACTCATGACATACAGTAAAAGCATAATGTTGTTGTTCCTATGCTGCCGAATCATCAATCTGTCAGACTAATTTTATTTACTTTTAAACCATAGTGTTGGGAACAAGATTTAATGTACAGCTGAAGTCTACTTCATGCTCCCTGTGCAAATATAACATAAACTGGTGTCCAATATCCAGTGTTGGCTTTGGGAAATAACGGTCATTCTAGCATGATATCAATACACGTTTCTAATCCATTAAATATTGTTTTATTTGCTTGAACCCCATTCATAATATAATATATTATCCTTGTGAGTGACCAAATTTATAGGGAACCACAGATTTAGCACGGCAACGTGTGATGCATAAATAAAAGACACAATCTGTCATTTTTGTAGAAAAAACATGTCAGTCCCAGCTGTCACCGTTCACTCGGTCCATATAACTGCAGCCGATGTGGACTCCATGTTTCTTGGTGCGAGGGTTAGTGTGTAAACATGCTGTGAAAACCGAACTAGATTCAGAATATTTTCCCCATTTTTCAACTAGGAATCGAAGCAGTTATATCATCTTCCTCAAAGTTACCAGATTCTGTTGACAAAAATGCAATTTTACCGGTTCTGCCTCAGCAGGTTAGTTTGTAATGAGAATGAATATTTTATCTGCTTTTCTATACAACGCTAATCGCGTATTTTTTAACATTTGTATCTGCCCTGATGTACTTGTTGACATCAACACTGCACTAACAAGATAGATTTTTTGAACCCACAAAACGGAAAAAGGACACATTTTTGGTTCACAAAGCAATCAGAAAAAACACTTGGGTTACCCAAGTTTGACCTCCAAACATGATCAGGTTGCACAGCTCACTCCTTTGCCATTTTTCTTGGTCGTTTTGTATCCTTGTTTCCTGATTTATTTTTCTGAGGCCCAGCTAATACTACCCAGATGTGTAAGTGTTTCTTCAATGGAAAATGTGGTGAGAATGTGTCGAGAGTGAAGAAGAGGAAGAAAGACAGAGAAAAAGAAGGGAAGAAAAGTGTCATTATGACGTCAGTGTGCTTTCTATTGAAAAGAATGTACGATTTGACACACTTTTCTTTAAACTGCAGCGGGTGACGACACAGAATGGTGCTGATTCAAAAGCAGCACAGTCAAGAAGTACAGTATGGCAATACATCCAACTTCGCTTCTCTGCTTTTTTTCACTTACTCTTATGTTTTCCCTGCTTCCCATGGTGACAATTGAACATACAATATTTCACGTTGAGCCTTGCTATAGAAATGTACGGCGAGCTCTGTGCCGCGGCGCACAGGCAATCATGGGCCGACACACAATGCTGCCTTAAAGGCTGCAGTGGTTTCACAGCAGGGGCACACTTTTACACTGATCTGGCTGCTTGGTTACTGTGAGTTTATGTAGCCAGCTGGGAAGAAACGCATAGCATAAATAGGAGGTGTTCTCTCGTTTTAATGTCCCATGCCTGTACTAATATTCACAGGCTTGCACAGGCACTAATGTTTTTTGCACGAGTGGCAGGAAAATAGTTTTCTCAGACTGACAATGCAAGTCCAGGCCCTTTGTCCCAAAGGCACAATTACACAGTGAAAGAAGACAGTTATTACCCAGTACATCTGGAGAGGCTCTATAGCTGGGGGCACCGATCAAGTCCACCGAGCTGAAGCTCTCCTCTCACTGAACATATATGATACAGAACCCAGTGTTTAACTGAGCTGTCAGATTTTTTGCATATGTGGAGATGTTATTAAATAAACATAAACTGCCAGTAAATGTTAAGTTAATGTCAGTATTGTCATTTCAGTCAGGATTTAACCGTTCCCTTTAATTATAGAGAGCAGCGTTTAAAATCTATTTGTATGAAAGGCATGAAAACTATTATGAACACAAAAAATAATCACCACTGTAAAGACTGCAAACACTTCAATACAGTATTACGTCTATATGCTGTTTTTAACTTCTGCTGGATAATTGTAATGCAATGCAAGCTGTCTTTGACATGTTACTGTCCACCAACAAATATTTGTTATATATTTTTGACTAAAGTACCAACAGTATGCATGCAGATAATTTAGGGCTGTATTAATTTAGAGATGCTCTGTTAGGGGCCTTCTGTTGCTTGAAAACAGTCTTGTCAAGACTGTGATTGCCTGATCTAAAGCTGGCTGGCGTTCAACCTCCAGTAATACAACCCACCTTTGTAGCCATGTTTAAACCGTTACTTCAGACCTTGTGTGTGTTAAGTTCATTTTAGATATTTGGCTGCTTTCACAAATGGATTTTTTTGTGTCTGCACTCTGAATGACTGTGGGTGTGTATCTTTTGCGTTCCCGTATCTTAAAAAGCGTGCGCAGGAACTATAACTCCAGTGGTCAGCACTGACCCATGACACTTACCCAGAGAGAAGATCTCCCACATAAGAACACCAAAGGACCAAACGTCGCTCTGAGTCGTGTAGATCTTGTCAAAAATAGCCTCAGGTGCCATCCACTTGAGTGGCAGTCTAGCCTGTACACGAGAAATGAGATAAGAAATGATTTACTGCCTCATCTCACCTGTGGACAGGCCTCCTAATAATGTCAACACTAACTGCATTGTTACATCAGTGGAAAACAAGCTGGTCTAAATTGTGCAGGCAGGTTTGATCCAGCTAAGCCTGAATGAGTCTCCTAAGCAGGGCTCTTCATTGACTATTCAAACAAACACATAATTTTGTGGGACACTTCTAAGAGCTGGTGAATTTATCTACCAAGTGACTTGTAGCTTATGTTTATTGCCTGTTATCTATTAATTTTAAATGCTTCTGAGCATTTTCTTTGTGACAGTAAATACCAGACAGCTGTAAAAAATAAACACACAACGATTCTAGGCTTTAATAAACTCACATCTCCTTTGCGCACATAATCCGGGTCTTTGTAGATGTCCCTGGCGAGTCCAAAATCACAAATCTTTACAACATTATTCTCAGAGAGCAGGATGTTTCGTGCTGCCAAATCACGATGAATGCACTAAATGAAAAAGAAGAAATCATGTTTAAAGAGACATTTACGTTTATAAGTTTTCTACATATCTTGGACTTTAAAATGGAAGACTGCATGTGGAGAAACATATGGTCAAGTCATCAGTGACATTACAATAGGAAATCCCCCCTCATACTCAGGCTAAGAAATAGTCTGTTGTAGAATTTATAACAATAACTTCATTCTCTAATCAGCCTCATCCGGTCTCCCCAAAACGATGAATGACTTGAAAAATAAATGAGCTCTAAACTGACATCCTTTAAAAACCACAAGGGCAAGATTATACAAAAACAAAAGTAAAGTGGGTCATAGTAGAGGCGGTGTGGTCTCTTTTAAGTTGTCCTTTGTGGTATGTTTTTTTCATTTACAATCCAACAACTACTTGACAACTCCTGGAACACACTGGGTGTGAACCAGTTTACTTCTATTTGGGCACTTTGCTGATTTAACCATACTAGTTAACCCTCTGAACCCCAGGCAGTTGTTTTTTTGTTGTTTTTTTAAAAACTGCAATATGAAGTTCTGCACTTCTATGGAAACAACACAACAATTGCTAGAAGCAAAGAGAACTCAAAACTATCTTTTTTTGCACTATAACACATTTCAATTACCATTAATCATAAAAAGTTGTTATTTCTTTGTTTACTTATTTAAAAAAAAACAAAACATAAAATGTAGGTGATTTAAAAAAACATCATGCCTTTCAAACCTGCTGGTTGGTTTTGGGGGATCAGAGGTTCAGGTTGTCATTTGTAGCAAGATAATTTATTTACAGTTCAGCAATTTTAATATATCTGACAGCTCTTTGAGCACTTGTAGTGTGAGCCAGTTTGGTTCTACCTGTACACTCTTCTGATTTAAATGTTCTCATGAAACAAGGGTCAGCACTGTGATCCTTCACTATATTATGTAAGATTTAAAAAACAAAATACAGTGAAATGTAAAGGTTGTTCTGTTCTGAAGAAGATAATACCTTGCGTGATGCCAAGAACTCCATGCCTTTTGCAACTTGGAAACTGTAGCAAATTAAATCTTCCAGTGTCAGAACTCTCTTATATAAGTCCTCAGATTCTGTAAAACAAAGAACATGAAGTTCCCAGTCAGCATGATTTTCTGTCTGGGTATACAATAAATGGACATTAAATTTACAGTAATAATCCTGCTCATGTTTTTAAATGCAGTCAGTGTGATCTGCAGGTTTCCACGCCTGTCAGATAAATCAGGAAACTTTTAATGTAACGTTCTGGACTACAGCGTGTCATCTTAACAGTCTGTTCTGTCACGTACTTGTCTCCTCCTACACACTATGTCTTTAAAACATCCTTTACAGAAGAAACGATAAAAACAAATTACAATCCTGTCTAGTTTCGGATGTCAGGTGAAACGTGCAGTAATGGGCGCAGTGTGCCGGTCGGGGGTCTGATAGAGGAACTCACAAGGAGCCCTTCCACTGGCCCACCTGAGTAAACAGCTAATCAAACCAGAAATAACACATCAAAAACAACATGGCTGACGTGCTGAGCTGAAGCCAGAGAGCAGAGCGATGCTCGGGTCAGGACAGGAAATAAACAGACGCCTCCCCAGACTCAGTGGGGTGACAGTGGCTCCTGCTGCAGTGATTGTACTGCTGTACAGGAGGAGGAAACGTCCCATCAGAGTCGGACTAGAAAACAATCTGAGGGGAGCTTTGGTTGCTGGGCAGGAGGGGGAGGAGCGGAGGTGGGGGAGCAGGGAGACAGCGGGAGGGACAAACAGGGACGGGTGTGGGGGTTGAAGGGAAGCAAGACGTGCTTGGCCTTTACCTTCTTCCTCTTCCTCTGAGTCGCAGTAGCTCTTATCTTCGATGAAGCCAGAGCTGGCGGAGCTTCCGGTGCTGGCTACGCTCTCCAGGCGGCGCTTCATCAGCTCGCTCAGCTCACAGCCCGATCCTGAGGTCACCACCTTACCGTCCTGGCTCTGAACGGCACACATGCATCATGGTCAATGAGAGGAGCTTAAAGGCTAATATGCATTGAGCTTTTCTACATGGTTGAGTGGCTGTGTGATTTGAAAATGGACCTGATTCATCACACCCAGTCTGTAAATCTGCAGAGTGTTTGCATCTTTCAAACATGAGAACTTCCATGACACTTATCAAAACAGCCACTCCCTGCTCTCACTGCTGAGCTCGAGATAAGAAAGCAAGTGAGCTGGAGAGTTAAAATCATGCAGCTCATGACTCACCTTGTACACAAGGAAGTCATCCCTCTTGCCTCTCAAATAGTTGGACAAGTTGCCGTATTTGCAGAACTCCACTATCATCATCAAGGGTCCTGTTGAGATGGCACATTTCTTATGATTACTGCTGCGACATGTGGTTGTTTTCACAATAAAGAAAGCCATGAAAAATGGAGGGCAGCATCGCAGTAATTAAATATCATTTTCTTCTTTACACAGCTTCTGTTCAAACTCAGTAATAAAGCTCACCTCCAGGTTTCGTGCAGGCTCCCAGCAGGTTGACCACATTGAGGTGATGACCGATGTGAATCAGGATCTTTAACTCTGACATCAGGGCTTTCCGCTCATTTGATGTAGCACCTCCTGTAAACACGCAAGCATGCACAGGATTTGTTCAGCATTGGTTGGTGGATCAGTAAATACTTCAGCAAAAATTATATACACTTTTACATAAAAGAAAATATTTTTGTAATTTGTAGAATCTTTGAACGATGCTACATTCATGTGCGAAGATAAAAGCATGAAAAAGAAGCAAGTCTACACAGGTTGCTTGTCTTATTAAAATGTATTTTCAAATGTAGTGGAACACAAACTTCATATCAGAATGTCAACACTACATGGTGTCAACCTCTCAAAGGCAATGAACGGAAACTTTATGAAATTCTTTGCAGTTGTATTTAATTTTTCCCCCCAAAATCTGAACTAAAAATAGTACTTGCAGTGAGACACCCAGATTCTAAACCATTTGTTGTTTTCTCCTCTGAGAGATTCACTTGCTCTCCCAATTTTTTTTCGTACTTCTCTAATACTGATGGAGTATTTTTGATTGTGGTAATAATGGTAAATGCTGTTTTCTTATAAATATATATATTTTTTTGCCTTAAGAAGATGATAAAGTTCAGTCTTTGCAGGTTTTTCAAACGGAAAAAATGTTTGATGGATTACCATGCAAATGTAGTTTTATGAAATGAAATATGGTGGAAAAACAATAATATTGCTTTAATATGAAGCAGCTTTAGGTCGAGGACATCCTCTAAGATACAAAGAACACATTCATAGAATTAAAACGAGAAACGCTCATATTACATACCCGATTTTGATAAATATGAACAATGATATAACGTCTTCAGCTTTAGATTATGAAAATCAAGATTTAGAGGTTGTTCTGTGTTGCTTTGACCAAACACATATTTATGAGCTGGAAGCGAGAGCAGCCAGGGAGTCTCTGGCTAAATCACGGTCAATTTGAGGAGACCTGCTGCTTTCCATTAAGTTTGACCTACGACTAACAACAGCCAGAGTCTGTTCCTCTCGCAGAGCCTGTGATTTATGCTGAGACATGATTAATGATAAGACAGTGAGCAATACGTCTACGTAGCAGCCCTGTGTTTGATCCTCACTGATACATCATCCACATATCACTGAGAGCTCTGCAGTTTGCTTCTCTCGTTTTAGAAAATTAAAAGTGTCATTCGCTTAAATGAAAAAAACAAAGCAAGTGAAGACAAAACTCTTTTCTCTCTCTTTGTTTTCTTGTTTTCATTTAGAGCCAACATTTATAGTTCGTTGTGATTATTTGGAAAGACATAGGAATGAGAAAATGAGATTGTAAATAACTTGCCTCAAAAATCAAGACCCGAGAAAGGATTGTTTCCAAATGTTAGGATCTCTACAACTACATAACATAAACACAATTTTTTTGGTCAATTTGTACTTGTGTCTTACACGTCTGAACTCTTTTTCACCTGCAAATCTCGGACATTCTGATCTGAGGTGTCACATGTGTACACTCAAACTCCTCATCAGGGATACGCTTAAAGAACCTGTACTTTGGGAGGAACAGACATTGAATTCTTTGCTTTAAATGAATATGCCACACAAACATTAATTGCGCATGTGCTGCTGTAGCTTATAAGTCTGAAACATGCAGAAGAAATAAATCTTGTGCAGAAATGAAAGATATCTGACAGTCATCTGTTACACATACAGCAGTGAATGGTGTGACATTAGCGCTGGCCCTAAAATAACAGAATGTGTCAGTTTCATTTCCTTTTAATTTCTAATTATAATTAACTCAAAGCCTAAAAATCACCGGACTGTTCGACATCCTACCTTTCAGCATTTTGACCGCAACAGTCTTGCAGGTTGATAGCTTGTCGATCCCAAAGGCAGAAGCCTCGACAACTTTTCCAAAAGCTCCGTGACCGAGAGTTTTGCCTGGAAAAGGAAGAAGGTATTTGATAAGTGGGACGACATTAGAGCTTCTTGTCCCTGGGGTGGAAAAAATGCGACTGTATTCCCTGTCGGTCAGGCTCTGTAATTAAAACGACCCACCGGAGCTGTGATCACCACAGAGAGAATTTATGGTTCGCTTAAGACTGGATGACAGCGCAGGTCACTGAAAAGTAATGACCCTTCGCTCCGGCTGCAGAGAGGGATGACACCTACTCCATGTATCTTAATGTATCTGTGTACGTATGAGCTGACTATGAACTTCACCTATGATGAACTTTTATGAAAAAGAAACATTTGTGTCATCTGCAAACTGTAAAACTGTCAAAGTGCAATAAAAAAAACTAGAAACGTCAGTGCTGTTTGACACATTAAATAATACACGGGCAAATTTGAAAAAGCAATAACATCAAATTCATCACTACAATTAATAAACAGTTGTGTGATGTGCTCATTTTCTTATTCTTTAAAGATTTTTTTGGCAGTGTCTCTTTTTTTTGAATGGTGCAGTAAAGATAGAAATGAAATGTGTGGAAAGAGAGCAGGGGAATGACAACCAAAGCAGGGACTGATGGCACCTTAACTACTCGTCAATCAGGTCACCTGTGTTGTACCTTATTCAGCCAGTTTTACTACTGTGAGACAACAGACCCTGACTCTGAATGCTCTGTTACTATTTGAACATCATTTAAACATGAACACTGCAGAAAGTTTCAAATGTAGGCTTAACAAAAAGCCCAAATTATGCATAAAACCCCCAAATACCTTATTAACCTGTTTAAAACTCATAGGGGGCACCAAGTGTCTAAATTTGCTCCCTGTAATATATGAAAGTTATAAAGTATGAAAACTTTTTTTTTAACACGTTGCACAGTGCTCACCTAGTCGCAGGCGGTCTCGGGGAAACTCCCATTTGCTGCTGTCATACTGAAGAAGGTCATTCTGCTCATCCAGGGGATACTCGTCAGGATCAATGATGATGGAAGGGCCCATCTTGTAGTGTGCAGGTTGCTGAAGCATTAAGAAGATAAACATCAGTATTTATCTATGACAACCTATGGAACTTAGCTTTCATTTTATGGAAAATGTTGATGTGAGCAGGGAGATTCTTGCTCTGCACACATGACCGAGATGAAAGCACAAAAACGTTTCCTCACTTGTTTTGCACGAACACATAATGGTCTCCTGTGAGGACATACTGTACACAGAAAGCCTAAGTTCAGCACTTACTGTCAGGAAATGTGAAAAGCAGAAATACAGGCTAAATTTATCTTTCACTTAAACTGTATTTCACAACAGCCATAAGTGAGTCACTTCCAGGAGCCTTTATTGCTAACTCTCATAACAGAGAAGGAATAAAATTTCCAAAATGCAATCAGTCACTTCCCATGTGCTGGCAAACGCTAATCTTATGCGGTTTCTGAGAAAAGAAGTAATGTAACGCCTTACCTTCCTCAGCTTGCGAATGAAGAGGATAAGCATCAGCCAGAGGAACGTGGCAGCAGCTCCCGTACACACCAAGATTATGACCTCAACGTTTGGCTTCCCTTCATCTCCTGGAATGAGAAGAACTGTCGTAAACCAAGCCTGTTTAGCACAAAATCACTGTGTGCTTTTTTGTGATCTCATAAGTTGTCATACGATATTGACGGGGATTTGGGATCAAAAGCAAACAGCCTGTTACAAATTTACAAACAAAGAGCGTGGTTTTCGACCCATGACGCTGGGACTTTCATTTTGCGCCATTCTTTGTCATTCTAGTTGATTTGTTTCTTCATAAATTTTCTTTGCGACATTGTATATAAAGGAAGTGCAAACACGCTTCAGTGTTTATTTCATGTTTGTTTGGGACATGCATACCACCTTTTTTTTTTTTTCGAAACACTGTTTTTCTAACCGTTCATGTTGACACTCTAAAGGCTCATATCCTTTGAATAAGCACAACGATTTTCTGGCTCTTGTTTCAAACAGTCCTTGACTAAAGAGCCATAGCAGGATATGCATACAGCATGTTGTTGATAAATTTTCATGGTGAAGATGGAAAGATAACAATAATTACAAAGCTGATCCTTAAGCGAAATAGAAGTTCAGCTTAACAAGAATATATTTAAGTGCCAACATGTGGAGAAACCTGGCTGCATGATATCATATCTCCTTTCCACATGTACAATTCATGGCTCATGCAAAGGTAGAGAGGTACACACATGGTATGAAACAGACCTTCTACTCCAATTATCTGCTGTATGTTTCCAGTCCCCTGGTAGCTGTAGCAGTCAATCTTTTTCGACTCATTAGTGGACCTCTTAACACTTCACAGAGGTTGTGTCCTCTAGGTAAGGGCCCTCAGCCAAAGCCATGATCATAAAACCCAAGAAGGAATTCACTTGGCATTCCTGGCAGCCACAAATTTTCTGTCAGGGGAGACTTTTCTCACTGAAGTCTGACCAGAGCTATTTGTAGTGGTGACAAGGGAACAGGCCACGAGGCCTCTGAGATGTTTGGGCATGCAGAAGAGGCATTGACTTCACTGCTTGAGCTAATGATTAGTGTATTCGATGTGATCTGCAGAGAGTAGACGTCGCCTCACACCGAGGACTGTAAAAGCAGCAGGTGGGAGCGTTGATATTTTTTGATGTTTATGTAGTGAACATCCCACAGCGCCTGAATGACTCACCGAGCACAGTAACAACAGCACTTGTTTTCGCGTAGCCTTCAACATTGCTGGCGACACACTCGTACAGACCCTCATCGTCTTTCTTCACCCTTTCGATGGTCAGAGCCCCGTCTTTGCCGAGTGTAATACCTGAAAAGCACAAACCTTCAGTTAATGATACCATAAAGTTTGAGAAAGTGTGGCATTTAACTCTCAACACTGCATTTTCATGCAGGTGGAGGATGAGTGTTCAGGCACTTGAGCGTGTACATATTTTGTCTTTCACTACAGCTGAGGCAGTCTTTATACAGAATAGAAGGTATTGTACACTTGATATATTTTTAAAATGGAAGCTTTTTGCTTGAAAGAAAAACGCCATTAACCAGAAATAATATTTTCAGCAGAAATCAGACATAGCATAAAGCATATTTCTCTTCTTGTAGTTTATAAAAATGAGTACATGAATGCAACCTTTACTCTGACTATGTAGAAAGTATTAATTCTCTTCAAACTCTCCTCTAGGTTACGTGTTGCCGCACCACCCTGTACCATAATATCAAAAACCTACAAAAGGTTATTGCTATATGATAGTCACCACATATGTAATAATATTCTCGGGGTTACCTGGACTTTCTTCCACTGGAACACCATTTTTGTACCACATGATGTTGGGTCGAGGAACTCCCGAAGCATAGCAAGCCAGGACCAGGGTGCTGCTGCTGTTCACATCCTGATTAGTCAGATTTTGACTCAGCCATGGTTGTGTTCTTGCTGCACCAAAGAAAAAAAACAGTTTAAAGTAGATGTGCCATTACTCCATTACCGTCTTGTTTAGAAAGTGACTCATTAAGTGTTACAAGATTGTTTTCTGTGTTCCTGTGTGTGCTAACTTTTAGTGGCATGCCCATACATGTGTACACTTCTACAACAGAGCTAGTACATCAGCTTACTATTTGATAATAGATGCAATATATAGAAATGATCCTGCAATCACAGTTGCAGTGCCACATCCTTCTCTAACTTACCAACCACAGTAAGTGCAGCAGTCTTGACTTCAACCCTCTTGTGGAGCTTGTATGCTTGGCATTTGTACCCTGCAGTGCTGTTTTGGGACACATTATGCAGATAGAGGGAAAGGGAAATGGAGTATCGGCTGAGCTGGAGACTAGACACGTTGGACGTGACCGTTTGATTCCTGGAATCCAACCACTGCAGGTCTGTGTAGAGGTAACGGGTTGCCCGACAGGTCAGAGTGATGTCATTCCCCTCAATGGCTGTGTGAGGTTCAGTGGTAATTTCGTCGGGGTGATCTAACATAACAAATTAGAAAAATGTGGTAATTTAGGATTCCAGTTGTGGTAAATCATCCGTAGTTACAGATATACTCAGTGGTCAACTAGAGGTGTTAATTATGAATAAACTGAATTTCACATCTGTTTTACACGCATGCACGTATCCTGCTGGTTAGTGATTCTAATTTGGACAATAGCTTTGGACACAAAGCTGCTCGTCAAAAGGCCAGGAATGTCAAATTTGCAGTTATTTCCTGTTTCATCACTGTTAATTGGAAGCACGTTGCCGGTGGACAGCATTGCTGATGGCGCTTCTGCACTCATCCAATTGGAGTGAGGCTGAGTATGTGCCCCAAGGGAAGCAGACTGTGCTTGTTTATTCAGTTTGCTGGAAAGCATTCTCTGTTCCGTAAGAGAAGACAGCTGTTGTTACAATTCTGTCCTCTTTTTTAGCGGCATTCCATCATCCCCGTCTTCCTCACCTCTGGACGAGAGCTAGATTCCTCTTGGGAAAACTCTCACTCTGGGAGTATAATGTTTGGTACTTGGCATCCCCCTTTATTGTGGGTTCACCTGAATAGCTCAGTCTCAAAAAGCAGTCCTTCACCCTTCAGAAGATGGGACTCACATAACTTTTAGGGGAATGTGATTCACTTTGTTGCAAAGTGAACTGTGCTTGCGCCTGGTGACACCTCATCCCTGCTGTTATTACATAACTGTCTCAATGGATATTCATTTGGGGAACATTTGGAAATGCTCAGATGCACATAAAAAAGCAAATTCTCCTTGCACTCAAAGCCTCACCGAGAAAGAGGAATGACCTGCTGGCACCGGAGAAGGAATGCAGTTATTCATAGCTGTTTTTAAACGCGTGCCATTATAGCACTCCATATGGCTCTGGACATGTTTGCCTCTCTTCCGCCCTGAAGCTGTTCAGCTACACTGGAAGATGTTTTCAATTAATGCCCCCCTCTGGTCTCTTTATTGCACAATACAATCTGCACATTCCTTCACTGCTCCTTGCAGTTCATTACACTGTGTGTACGTAGATTATTTGCAGGAATCCAGTGCATGGGGTAGGACTCTTTACAATTATGATCAAACTCTATGACTGTGTACAAATCAGCTGAGCATTAAGCTTGCATAATTAAGATACAAATGCAAATATTTCAGCTCTTGCATTTTGGTGACTCGCTTACCATCGACGTAAAAAGGCTTTGTCATTGTGCTCTCGCCATCCTCATTCTCGGCCTTACAGGAGTACTTTCCTGACACGTGGGCTTCTCCAATCACCAACGTACTCACAGTCTAATCAGGATTGAAAAGGTAATTATTATTAATTATTTAAAGCAGCACATAACATAATAACTTAAACATCAATTCAGATTTCCACTGTGACACTGTGATTTATCTGTGAGGTTTTAATCATCATCATAGTCCTGAGTTGCTGTTAACAAATAAGTGAGAAGTCTGGACCAACCCTGGTGTGTTTTATAATCCCCAGTGTTTGACATTAATGAAAGGATACATCTGGAGTTTTAAAGCCCACTGACTCCCTTTCAGTCCTGTATGATATATCTAGAGCTGGGGCTCCATATTAACTTCCTGGAAAGCACTTCTAATGCCACGCTCGATTTTAACGCTAGTACAAAATTTTATTAGTTTAAATTGACAAAATAATAAGTGAAACTTGGACGAGGGCCAGACTGCGTGGGGTTCTGTTTAGTGTTCACAGTGACATCTGTTTTTTGGGGGCAGTCAGCTACATCAAAGAGAGTGAATGATGTGGGTGTATTGTCTGGGGTATACTGGCCTAAACTTCCTGGGCTAGCAGGAGCTATTGTGTTGACGCTCACAGGCCCAGCTGTAGCCATGAAACCTTTTCGGTGTCTCTGTTCTTACAATGTTCACCAAACAAACAGTCAGGAAGTAAAAGAATAGGTGTTGGCTCGTATTGTCCAATACATGCTGACATGACATTTGTCAAAACACTGATGGAATGGTCTTATGGTATAATGTTACGCCTATTACTCACCATGATGTAACCTGAGATTGAAAACAGTCATTTAAACGATTGCGCACAGTCCTGAAAAGGTGACCTGATCAGACACACTGTGACCTCTGTGCCCATGTCTTCCCCTGTGTTTTCCTTATATTTTGACCTGGGCCAGTCTCCCTCTCAACTGGGCCTTCTGGGGAGCCACTCGGAGGCCCAACCCTGACTATGTTCTTATTCACGGGCCAACACGATTTATGTGGGGTGACAGAGAGGAATTTGCTTCCAACAAATCCCTCTTCTTTTAAACTGCTGCTTGTTATCATTGACCCTTAGTCCTAACCCTCATAAAGCACCAGCGACTGGCCACAAGTACTTGTGAATAAGTAGTGCCTCCATATTTATGTTAGACACTTATTAGAGCTGATGCCCTGTGAAAATGGCCAAATTTACAATGCTTCTTCTGCAAAGAATTACTGTAAATTTCATTTAATACTTAATAAGACAGAAGAAGTCCATAAATCACCACCTTTAGCACCAGAAACAGGTCAAAAAAGTTTGGATTAACAACGATCACTGATGCTCTCTCTTGCCAATGAATTTGTGGCCTAATTTGACCCAGTTTGCTGTAATGGGTTTCTTGAACCTACTGCGATAGACAGACTAAGGCGAGGCAGCAGAGGCCTGCTCTTAATTATGTCTGGGGTGAACAGTTTTAGTAACAGGCTTCCTCAGGACATTTGCAGTGATGTATACAGCTTGCAACTTGTGCTCATGTTTGGGATTTCTATGGCAATATGTCTGACACACTGGCAGATTCCACATTGATGCCTCAGAGTTGACTTCACAGAAAACAACATTCTGAGATACAAGACAACTACATCTGCTTACTGCATAGGTGTGACTGCTCCATCTGCGTAAATGTTTTGATCGTCATATATTTTAGAATTGCATTACGTAGAACCACTGTATATGTTCCTATGTAACAAAAGCTTGTGGCACATGAAAGGCCATGTTTTACAGCCTTGAGAATCTCAAAAAGTCTAAAGATTAACTAATGTGAGAATAAAAGATGCTTCATTGGCAGGATTAATGTGCAGCTGGTTTATTTATTAACCTTCTTCATATAAAAAGAAAACAGTGAAAGAGATCGTGTATTTCACTCCACTATTGGAGAATTAACTGTCTATCAGTTATTGGTGCTCCATTTCAGGCTCTCAAAAGGCAGAAACGCTGTGCTAGAGACTTCACTGCAGTTAAGCTAGTGTATTAGCTCATCGTGTTGTAAATGCCTTTGTCAATATGGGATCTTGCTTTTCAGACATAGCACATGATATGCATGAAACCAAGTGATTGTCACATATTTTTCTGGTTGCTTATTTCAAGAATAAAGTAAAACTAGCAAAACCGACATTTTCAAAGGGGTCTGCTGAGGGTTTTTTCATGGGTTTTGGTCACAGTTACATAAGTCAAAACTAAGGCAGACAAAATTAATCATCTTCAGTGAAGAAAAGTACTTGCATCACTGCCAATCCACAAATCCTCCTGTGACCATGTGTGGATTTAAAATGTTGAATCTGACTTTCAACTCCTGAGCATCTGTCTTAGCCAGTGGCTATTTTGTATCTGTAGACGTCTTCTTGATCCAGTTCTCATACTGTATAAATCCTTCTATTGAATTAGACACCTCTATTTGTCAGCCTCACTTTATGGTGAAAGAGCAGGCTACAAGTGCATCCATTGTCTGAAAAAAATGTGGAAACACTACACATAAAATGACTACATACCTTGTTTTTTCCTTTAACCAGTTCAGGCTTGACAATTATGTTCTTGATCCAGTTTTGGGACTGATTGCTTCTATCATCAGTGTTGACCAGAACTGGCTCAGTGTAAGCTAAACAACTGCAGGACAGAGAAAAAGAGACCACATTGGACCCTGAACAATGCAACAAAGATGACAAAAACAGACTTTCATGTTGTTTTAAATGGGAATGTTAGCGTAACAATAATACACATCCTGCCCAGATCATATGTTTATGATGTAAAACTAAATTTTGAAGGCCTCTCTTGCACTGACAGACGTATCTGTAGTAGAGTTCAGGTCTAGACCAGGCAGTCTGGGTTGCAAAACCTAGAGAAAGCCTTGATTTAACCCCCCCGCCCCCAAAGCCTTCACCGCCTGTGGTGGTGAACAATCAGTTTGATGAGTGGAGAGGCAGAGAAGGAAACAGCAACAGCGACAGGAAGGGCTGAGCTGTGCGTCACCTCCAACAGGAACCCCCCCCACACCTTCTGGCCAGAGGAGATAAGGTTGATCCTCGGACCTTGGTGGTCAGCAAGGGACAACTGATAACTTCTCAACCTGGAGATAAAGACATCCCCATATTTTTGCCCCCAACACTATCAGCCTCATTCCACATCCAACACAGCAAGCTCCCCTCACCTCTAAACCCGCTCCAGACCCTGCCTTTCCCCTCCTCTCCAAACTCACAAAGATTAAGATGAGATATGATCTTGAAGGGCTGCATGTTGGATTTACAGTGACAGGTACTTTGCAGGGTCAGAGCTGTATAAAACAAACATTTTGCACAATTGGCCTCCCACCAGGCCATAGCTGTTCCTCTGTCTCATTAGCTGCCTGCCACGGCCCAGCCACTGTTCCTGGTGCCAGCACTGATTATCTTTGGGTCTGCAGAAAGAGGTGCTTACTAACCTTAGTAACCCTCTGCTAATATTTATCAGAAATCTCACAAGTACAAGTGATTTCCTGAGATGATTTAATGACTAAAATGATGCTGGTGGATTAACGCCATCTAGCATGTAACATAATTACTCTCTTTCAGTGGACGGTGTTGTTTTTATCAATGGTGTTGGGGCCTGATAACCCAGGGGTAATGACCCATTGTTTTCCTGATCTTACGACTCACAAGGTTCCTGCTTCCACTGACAAGTCAGGGGCTGAGGGAACGCTCAAATGTTCACTTTGGTGTGGGTTCACTACCAGGCCGGTATTCGTGCACAGTCGCTTTTATACACTCAGTTCTGTTCAGCTCTGTAATAGCTTAGGGAATGTGAGATTAATATATCTCCCTCATGTTCCCCCATCAGTCTACAGAACCACAACCACAAATGAGAGGGCAGTTCTCCAGGGCGGCAGACCCTTGATTAATGTGTCATGTTCTGGGACAGAGTCAATTGAGTCAATACAGATCTGTTTTATAGTGGGATCCCCGGGCTGGACCGGTGGTTCTGTATCCTACAATCACATCTCTCAAGTTTGTGCTGCTGCTTGGCTGTGTGTTTGGGATTGTGAAGCTTGCAGAGCTGCAATGATTTACCGATTAGTGGTCAACCATTAAGTTAATTGTCATCTGACTATTTGTTTTTGTTTTTAAGAATAAAAAGTCAAGATATTCTGGTTTCTTTCCTCCTCTTTGTCAGTGAAGGGAAAATCTTTGAGTTGTGGACAAAACCAGACATTTGTTATCTTTGTTTTTGGAAAACAATGATCAACATTTTTCCTATATATTTTTTTTGATTTCATAGACTAGACAACTATTTGATTATCGATAAGTTTGTCCAGTTTTAAAAAATAAATGAAAAAACCATGACTGCATATTTAAAGCTCTAGTCTTTACACTGTCCACCATTGTTGCTCAGTCAAAGAGATAAACATAGAAGGAGTTTTCTGGTCAAAGAGAAGCTTCAGGAGGTAGAAGCAACCTACATCCACTCTTTAACTCTTATTCTGTACACTGGCAGTTCAAACTAAACACGACACAACAGCTGAGTGACACACCACACTTAATGCAAATTAAATGATAGCATGTTATATTGATTTTGAATCTGCTGGGTATTCACAATGTGGTCCTGTTATATATTAAGCTACTTAAAGCATGGATTTATAGTGACTAGACTGATGTAAGATATTTGCAACATTAAATTTGCTTAGCTTTAAAATGTGATTGAAGATTGCACCATGAATGCAGAAGGTCCAGATTAAACATTTCAAAGCGTTGGACATAGCAAGAGGGTGACTCACTTTTTAAGTGTAGGGTCTGAGTTACACGGCTGCCAAAACCAAGTGATGGTTGGCAGGGGCAACCCATAAGCAGTGCAGGTTAGCTGCTGCTGTTTGCCAGACATGTAGGGCTGTACGTCCACATTGGCAAGCTCCGCCTCCGAAATAGTTGGTTTCACTGTGAGAGAGAGAATCACACACACACACACACACACAAAACAGACACACACACACACACACACACACGCACAGGAAGAAAGAGAGAAACAGAGATCATTAGATCAGTCATCAAACATCCCGTTCCTGCGCATTGTGGAATCTCATAATGTCTCTATAATGAGGGATGACAGTTATGATGAATAGCCATGAAAAACATGCCATTGACACCAGTTGTCCTTTAGACGTGGTGTACGAGAAGGATGACGGGATGATTGGCTAGCCTGAGGCTGTAGGTCAAAGAACGACCCCACCGTGGCCTATGCCTAGGTCAGTGTTTCGACCATGTGTGCTCTAATGAACAACAGACAAAAATACTTGTGCCACCTCAGGAGGCGGTGCACAACACTTAGCCAGTCTCTGCATTTCCTACAGTGACAAAGCTTCGCAAACTGCAAAAACCTGCATCCCGCACACAGCCGCCATCATACAGCACAATCTGGAGCACTGTAGCAACTCCAAAACAACTGATGAACAGAGTTTAAAATAGTTCTCTAATTGATACCAGGAATCTCTCTTCACTTTGTTTATTTGTGTCTGTGTGTTTTATTTTTTGTCATTCCAATAAATAAAAGTTTTTGAAGCGCGGCAGTCAAGGATCATAAATAAAGTTTATACAAGCCAGAAGGGGTCTGATTTTTCCACTTTTTGGCACGCTATTGGGATTCCTTGAAAATGTTTAAAGAATGCAATGAAAATAGCTCTGCCCCCCTCCCGTGGTAAGCCTGAAGTAACAGATACACCCTTCTACCCTTCTCTGTTCTCTATAGCAAGCAGACTCCATTCAAGTTTCCACTTAACTTGCTACAACATTTATAGCCCCTTGTGTTAACAGTTACCAGTATTCTTTACAGTCATCATAACAGTGAATTACATGCTCAGCCCTTGCTTTTTTAATCAAGCTGTATACATATTGTAAAGAACATGTTGTTTATATGAGCTGCACTGTATATACACATGGTGAGGATGCAAATAAATGCTGAGGACTGGGGGGGGGTCTGGAGCGGCTGGAGTCTGCGTGCAGAATAGAGCTCGGGCCATTTACACACTGAGCCAAGCCCCCGCAGAAGAGCCCCAATAATCAACAACAGCTGCCCCTGCTACGTCAATCCAGCCCTGGAATCAACAAGCCCCCAAATTCCTCTCATACTAGAGCTGCTACCTGCCGTCCAGTGAACTGGACTGAAAGCAGCAGCAGTGCCGGGGCAGCCTCAGTCCACAGCCGAGGAAGGCACCCCTTCATTTCCACCAGATCAGCAATCATTACCAGGTTTATGGCTGTGGCTTACCGTCAACTACCAGAGTGTAGCTCAGATTCCTGTACAGGCCCTTCAATCTGTTGCCCAGGCTTATGGTGAAGATGCCAGCATGCTTCGGCTGCACATCTGTGATGGCCAGGTTAAAACCAGACATCTTGTAACAAGTGGAATTCTTCTGTATGGGGACCCCATCTTTATACCTGAAACATAAAGGCACAGAATGGTTTGTTTATGATGCATAAACATTCGTAAATCAAAAGAAAATATTTGACTTACAAAGTTATAATTTAAGGTGTCTCTGAGATTTTATCTATTAGTTTTAAAATACATCCATTATCTATACATCGCTTAGTCCTCACAAGGGTCGCGGGAGGGGCTGGAGTCTATTCCAGCTGACTTAGGGTGAAGGCAGGGGACACCCTGGACAGGTCACCAGTCTATCACAGGGCCACACTTAGAGACAGAAAACCAAGCACACTCACATTCACACCTATGGACAATCTAGAATCACCAATTAACCTCAACATGTTTTTTGGACTGTGTGGGAGGAAGCTGGAGAACCCGGAGAGAGCCCACACTGCACGGGGAGAACATGCAAACTCCACGCAGAAAGATTTCGGGACGCGAACCGGCAACCTTGTTGCTGCGAGGCAACAGTGCTAACCAACTGCGCCACCTTGTAGCCCTAGTTTTAAAATGTACCTTTGAATTTGTTTCGATGTTGACCTGAACTCTGAGCAGTTTCTTGGTGTTTTTCTCTCCTGTCACATTTTTACTCACTGTGGGTTCATTTTTCACTACATTATAAAGTCCAACATCTCTATGGAAATGAAACAACAATCGCGAGAAGTAGAGAGAAATTCAAAATGTCTTCTGCACATCATGACCCAGTGATAGTGCCATAAATCATTAAAAAGACAACCAAAAGTTACTTTTGTTTTATTATTCATTTAACAAAAATGAAAATCTGAAACCAACATCTTTTAGGGAGTCCAAGTATCACGGAAACAAGTAGTGGCTTCACATGATACAGATATTTAACTTTTTACATTTTTAATGTTTTTCCATACTTAATACTCTGCACTACATATGTATTCAATGTAAGAACATGCTTCTGAGAAGTAGAATAAAATGATTTTGATTAAATATCATGATTTTAGTCTTACATCTGGTTACATTTTCCAGCAGAACTATAGGTCACAGATTAGTTCAAGGACTGTCAGAAAAGCTGAAAAGCTGATGATTCCTTGTGTTTTCAAAGTTTCTCTAAAAAGAGGGAATTTTGGAGACTGAAAAAAAAGACAACATGTGTTTTAAATCCACATGGGGGTATAGCACTTTGTAATGTTCAAATGTAATTAGAAAAGTTCTCCATAATAAACTCTATTATTATATATTGTTGTTTATGACAGATGAGCCCACACTCACTACACAACCTTTATTTATTGTGACTGTAAGCCTTTACGTACCATGCTATCATGTCAGGTGGTGGCAGAGCGTTGACCTTCGGGTCAAACACAAACTTCTTTCTCCCTTCATTGACAATCACTGTGCTTGGTCGCTCATGCCTGTATGAGACGTTGAGGAAGGGATGCTCTGCAACAGAAGACAAAAACAATGGAATCTATGCCAGAGAATAATGGACATAACAGTAAAATTATGATCATATTCTTATAAGATCATTTCAGAGTGTGATAATTAAGTAGTATATTGACAACCTGCAATGAACCATCTAACGGATACTCACCAAAGACAGTGACTTTTACTGAAGCATTCTTGTGCTTTGTGGGTTCAAGGTCAGCTTTGCAGCGATACACTCCCCTATCCTCCATGGTAATGTTTGGCAACACTAAAGTCTTGCTCATTACAAGAACCTGAGCAGGTATGAGTTTGGGCTTTTCTGTATAATGTCGGTTTTCCTGAAGACAAAGGAAGTAGCATACATCACAGCTACAATGCGTAAAGATCTTTTGACATACAGTAGTGCAGCATCAACCAACAGTGAACCCTGAACTTACTTTTCTTCTTGGAAAATCCCAGGTGAAGTTGATTCTCCCATTATAGGTGGTCTCCCCACTACAGTTGAGGATGAGGGTGTCCCCAACCAAAACTTTAACACGCTCTGGGGTGATCTTCACATTGTTAAGGACAAGAGCTGTGAAATCGAGACAAATATATAGACTGTAAAATGGTAAACAATTCGCAAAGTCAAAACAAATCTATGTTTGTTTGTTTTTTTTTTACTCACTCTGTCTCTGAGGGATGTACACTGACTTAAACTCAATGCCGTTGACCACAGTGTTGCACATGAGCATTGTGTACACCGTGTAGGGACCATAAGGAATCGTGAACCCCACCTTTGGATCCCAAACCATTCCCTTAATGATCGCCTTAGATAAATGTGGGACCTGCAATAACAAAGGCAATGTTTGTATTTGCTTTTTGATGACGCTTGTGATGTCTGTTAAAGAGTGCTAAGCTGACCAAAGAGGAAGCTTCATCTGACTCATGTTTCACATGGCACAAATGGGGATAGACGGCTTTTAGGATGGGGATCTAATTAGTTTCGTTTTTTTCTTAAATTGTAACCTCTGCAATCATTTATGTAATGGAGCACAAAACATGACTGACTCGGAAAAGGATGTACGTGCCTGCGGCTGTTTGTTCCCAAGGCAGAAGTTGGGCGGAAAGAGGAGGCAAAGGATGAGAAGGAAGGAAGGAAAGCAGGAAGGAGGAGTGCCATTGATTCATTAAAAGCAGGAAGGTCCCACAACCACTATCTGTGCCATCAGAGTGGATTTGTTTTTGTTTACCCACTGAGGCACTATAACAAATAGTCATATGTCAGTCACTGACAGGACAAAGATACGCACACGTCTGTGATTGGCAGCTTTGGCATGGCTTTCATTACTGCTCAAGGAAAAATGTTTTACTAAATACAATCAGGTCCTGGAGTCAGCCATAAAGATGAAAAGTGCAACCACTGAGGAAGCGCTTGTCCACTGACGTCTCACAGTAAACTCTAGGATCAAATGCTACGATCCCAGTTACCTGTTGTTTCCTGTGACTGGACACAGTGTGTACTGTTTTTCTACTGCATTTCCTGATGTTTGTAAAAGAAGAGCAGCTAAATTTAGTCAGGGAGTCTATTCTGAGAAAAGCACTCTTGGAGCACCTTCCTGTTCTTACAGGAAGCAGACAGGATGACTCCCTTCGCCGCCCCTGAGCTTCCCTCAGACAAGCCACTGTCCCCGGTTTGTTTCTGTGTGCTAGAGTCATTTACCATACAGAGGGTGTGAGAACCAGTGAGACGCCCTAAGCACAGAGTGGAAACACTTTTTTTTCCCCTAAAGAAGACAAGTAAGGATAAACTGCTTTAGTATCATCCCTCTGAACCCCAAAATCTGCCACTCGGTTTGAAAAGCAAGTTACCTTTACAAAACCTACGTACAGACAATAAATAAATGGAATTTTTTTCTTTCTTCTGAAAACGCCACAGCTCATGACGGTCCGCTGTCTCCGGAGTTGAGCAACATTTTCTGTACGTTTGCAGATAAACGGATGACTAGTTTAATGTAATTGGAATGATTTCTGCTGAACACCGTTTTTCAGTCCAACTGCCACCAAAGTACAGAAGAAAACAAGTGCGACAGGAAACACGTACAGAAAATGTTGCTCCGCTGTCTCCGGAGTTGAGCAACATTTTCTGTACGTTTGCAGATAAACGGATGACTAATTTAATGTAATCGGAATGATTTCTGCTGAACACCGTTTTTCAATCCAACTGCCACCAAAGTACAGAAGAAAACAAGTGCGACAGGAAACACGTACAGATTCTGGATCTCGCTCGCACATGTGGCTGCATGTAGCAAATGACACCATTTATCAGAATCATAAATAAATTAATCCTCCAACTCATCATCCATGACAAGCTGTATGGTTGGAAAACTTAACCAAATCTAAACTAAAAATTTTAATATTTAATCAAATAATTTTATTCTACAAGTCTTATTCAAAAATTCTCTAAAAATGAACCCATTGCTCTAACTAGATCCTGCAAAAAGCAAAACAATCTGTACTCCTTGGCACTCAGCTGCGACCAATAGTCATGTAACAAAAATTATGGAACTTTTAGGCTGAACTCGGCTGAACTGCAGGATGTGTTCACACAGGCCAGAAAGAAAAACAAGTGTATAGTGTCGCCATTTTTTCTAGTATCAGTAACAATTGAGGGCACTTGGGAAAATATTTTCCATGTTGATTCCAGGTGTGCTTTATAAAATAAACCGACATCCAACTCACATTTTTTCTTTGTAATGATTTATGGCGTTATAGCTGTGTCATGCGGTACCAGAGACGTTTCTGAGTTTTCTTCACTTCTTGTCATGGTTGTGCTGTTTCTACAGAGGGACAGGACTTTATATTGCAGTAAAAAATGAGCCCTCAGTGAGCACAAATGTAACCCTAAAAATGTAACATAACCCTAACCTTAACCCTAACTCAAAGTGTATGTATATGGAACACTCTGGATTACTTTATATAATATACACTACAGTAAAACAACATATCCCACAAATGGAAGACATGTGCAGAAGGTGTGAGATGAATATCTTTGTGAGGCCTTACCCCTGTCAGTGTCACAGTAGTATTAGGAGACGATGTCCGACAGGGAACCACAAGGCTGGTCTCGTGCCTGTAGATGCCCAAAATGAATGGTGTTGAATAACGGGGCTCCACAAATGGTTGCTCGGGATCTGAGGACACAAAATTTTCCCAAATAAGTAACATTTTAAATAGAGGTAAGACAGAAACTGCATTTCAAAGCATATGTGGCCACTTATATGTTGTACTTTGGGATAACCCAATATTTTGTAGTAAATTTGCCGCTGTTATTCTGATGTGTCAGAGTTAACCACTGCACCCCCAGAAAGTGCAATTATTGGAGCCTTTTGTGGGTTCTGCATTTCTATGTGGTTTTTGCATCTTCCATCCCTGGGCCTGTGTATCCCCTAGAGGTGTGTGAAGTTTTCTCTCACAGTCCAAAAACATGGAAGTTAGGGCAGCCGGTGTGAATGGTTCCATATCTGTTTTGCAATGAGCATCTCACCCTCTGCTCAGCTGCAATAGCTCAATGTCCCCAATGTCACTGACACAAATAAATAAGGGCAATGCAAGGGCATTTTGCACTGGGCTCAAACAAAGAGATCAAATCTCAGTTAACTTAATTCTGGCCAGATATGGCATCAGCCCACAGAAACAGCTATCAGGCCAGTGGTGTGTTCCTGCTGGGAAGCCAGGCATCACACAGCAACTGTGGGAACACTCTATGAACTCTGGGCAATGCAAATAGTCTGCAATTGATGTGAGGTCAAGCATTAATGGTGTGTTAAAGAAACTATTAACTGAATTGTAAGCATGGAAATAATCTAATAAACAGCCGAGAGGCTTTGAAATAAGGGTGTTACAAAACTTCTAAATGGTTAACTAAACACAGGCACAGCAGGTCATATCAACTGGAAACCACATTCACAGAACAGAAGAAGAAACAAAGAGAAATCCAGCTTCATATAATATGTAACTATGACTCAGACCCATATTTACTGACTGTATCACTATATCAGTTTGTTAAAAGTCTAAAAAACAGCTCAGTGAATTGGGCTGAGGCTGACATTAAACCTTTTCTCTCCTTTTGCATTCCCAACATAATCTCCATTTGAAAGATCCTCTAACTGTGAAGTGACGCTTTAGGAAAGACTTAGGGGAAACAGTAGCTGTAGGAGGAAATCACAGTCAATGACCAGGGCTTCCCGTGCAATCACAGTCACCCTTTCACCTCCAGGAGAAACCACAATCCCACAGAAACCACTTCCTTTCTCTGAGAGGGAGACCTGTGGAACTTCACTCTGACTGCCATTAAATTAAAGCCAGCATCCTTAAGCAGGAACTGTAAGCGTATCTAGTGCATACAAATTCAGTAACTACTTCTCACCTCCCTTACTTTTTTTTGCACTTTTGTCATCAGTTTTATTCTTTTGCCTTTTCATCCACTTCTGCTGACTAATTCACTCTAGCTAATGTGCAAGTTTTCTAATTCTTGTATCTTGTATCAGATTGCTGATTTCATTGTGCCCATTAGTGGGCTCAGTCCAGCACTGCACCCCTCAACTGGCGTCAGCAGATGACAATCACTGTGAGAAAACTTTTTTCTTTTTTTTTTTGATAATCACGAGTCTTCCATGACTTACAGAAACAAATACCGCTAAGCTGCAGTTGGGAAAAAAAATCTGTTGAAAACTCTTATCAGTCTAACAGTTTACAGACCAGTTCATTATTTATTTAAGCAACATTACAGTCAGCTTTTATATGACTTGGATTCTGTGCTAGAGGGAATAATTTGAGTGTAAAAACATCTAATAAGGCTGCACAGGCTTCTGTTTTCTTGTTGTGAATGGTACATAGTCAACAAAAAGGATGTACAACCTGCATAAGTCACCACCAATAAGCCTTGTGAAGAGCATTTTGCAGGTCTCACCTTCGACGTAGACATAGGTTGAGGTGACGTAGTCTGAAGCAGCTTTAGAGTATTTACAGCTGTAGATCCCTGTGTCATTGGCACTCAGGTGTGTGACTGTGAGTTTGCTGCAGTGTGAGTGATGTCTGGAATCACACTGCTCCACCTTCACCCCCTGTGATGGGATCGACCTTTGGGCGTTGGCAAGTCTCCAGTGCAGGACGCCGTGACCTCTGACAGAAGACAGTGAGGGACAGTGTGAGATAAAGATGACGTCTGTCAGATCGGTCCATCTGGATGGGGCTAATTTTTGTAAAAGCAAAATGACTTCCTATGAATAGATTTGACACACTTTGCTGTTGATGTGTTCTCTGTAAACAAAACACTGCATGACTTGTGTCTATTTTAGGAGAAGTGTCACAGCTGGCTGTGGTCTCATAAGCTTTTTAGCTCAGGATGGCAGCGGCTGCTTCTTCCCCGGGGACTTTTTAGCCTGATGTTCATTTTAAGTTTATTTGGAGTTAATCTTGAGTCATCGGATAACTTGAACTTTCACATGGGAACATGCTTCTCTTGAAAGATGTGCTTAGCTAACACATTCTTTCCACACAGAATCCATTTTAAAACTCTCATTAAAGAGATCCCAGAGGAACATCAAACATGTCTCACATACCACTGCCTTTGCCTGCACAATTTTGAGTCAAGCAACCTCCAGTTCTCATCCAGTGACAAGAAAACAAGACAGCACTTTGGGGACCAGGCGTCTTAGTGAATGGCCTTGTAGGGAAGCATTACATTAGATAGCATGAGTTCCTGAACATTCTTTGCAGGCCTACAAAGTGATGCAATAGCTTAAATTCTTAACAAATGTGAATGCAACACACTTGGGTCCCACCGAAAGGAAATGGCAACAGACTGATAAATGCGGACCACCATCAGTGGTTCCTGTCACAGCTTCTTTGTAGCCAGCAAGTGTTCAGAGACCCAGGCCCCCTGCTGTTATGTAATGAGACCAGAGTCTAAACTTTGGGGCTGCAGTGAGAGTTCAGAAATTCCAGACTGACCTCTGATAACTGACCAGGACGAGGCAAGAAAAACTGGGGCGACAAAGTTGTTTAATTGTCACAAAAACTGACTGAAGCTGTAATAAAGTACAATGCTTTGTTACAAGTAGGTGTGTTTGGCTTCATACCTGCACATGAGGATTAAGATATCATCCTTTTGATACACAAGTGGATTGTCAGAGGGCAGAATCTTGGGCGAGTGCTCTCTCTCCGAGTGTCCTGCTGAACACACAAACACACACAGGGAAAAGAGTTAGTGTCAATCATTATCACACTAAACAGAATGGAAATCACCGCTGGAAATTCCCATGAATCACATCAGTGCTTGGCATGTGGGTTCACTTTGTGCGGTTCTGCTCCTGCCTCTTAAACGAGTGATTGTCCGCTGTGAGCACACTGGGGGTGTTTCCGGCGCTGCAGGCCAGGTTGTTGAGGATGAGCAGAAACAAAGACAGAGTAAAGGTGGAACAGACGGAGGGAGGAGGTGATACAGAGAGAAGCTTTTCTAGAAAGGTGAAAACTGTTAGAATGAGCAAGAACAGAGCAATTTTTCATTTGCTATTGACCTTGCACTCTCTTATTCCTACAACATCATCAGTGAGAATTTGAGGTCGCGACGTCTGATTCAAAGGTGCGGACAGCTGAATGTGTTGAGAGGTCTCTCTAACAGCGATCAACATAGGAAACACTGTGATTCTCTCTGCTGTCCAGGAGGTGTCACAGTCTCTTACGTGATTTCCTGCTTTTTACTGAGGTCCAAGAACAGTTTGTGGTTGTGGTCAAAAAACAAGTTTATTAAGTCTACCCTCCAAATATGACAGTCTTCAGGGAAACCTTTATTTGCAGCACATTTCAAGAAACACAGTGGAGCTACACAAAAGTGCCATGCAGACACATGAACTAGCTGATGGATACACATGTTCATGGACCAGACTCACATGCACGCGCGCGCACACACACACACACACACAAAGAAAAACACTCGCTCACACACATTTGCCTAGTTTTTGTCTATTATTCAGAACAGCTGTTGTGCTAAGAAAGAGCTGACGCTGCCAGTGTTGGCAGTAGCGCTCAATATCTACTTCCTTTACAAAATATGATAACATCATTGTTTTATTGTCCAAGGTTAAGCAGAGGGGAAGGGTTGTGGCTTATGCTCTTTCATGTTGCGATACCACAACATTACTATTGCCTGTATATTGGATTGAATACAAATCAAGGTTCCTGACTTAAATAAACAAGGTAATAATTATTTATTGCTGGTTTATTTGTAGCTGTCAAATAAATTTCCTTTTCTAACTTGCATTTTTTTCTTGCCTCACATCTGCAAAAATGGCAGCAAGTTTATGTGAAATAACAACTGGAAAAGGGAATAATGAATAAACAGAATATGACCTGCGGGATCTGTTAAATATGAATGTAAAAAACAAAAAAGTGCAATGTATCAGGCTGCAGTCTCCTAATTTCTGCAGGTTCAACTTGTCGTTTCTTTGACTTGTGTTGTAAAACAAAAGCAACATGTGTATGAATCCCTGCATCTCTTTGCAACACATCATCTTGACCTCAAATTGCTCGGGCAACTTGATCATTTCTAAATACTAGCCGGTTTTTGCCCTGTTCTCCTCAGTAATGCACTACAGATGGATGAATCAGCAGGGGCCCCCAGCAGACCACTAAAAAAAGACAAGAGAAGAAAAGAGAGGGAAAAAAAACACACCGTGGTTGTCTTTCTACACCCACACCCTCAAAAACTCCCACCTGCCCCAGTTGCTGCCCAGCGCTGACCTTAGCCAGCATCCCGACAGCCCAAACCCAGCTGTGTGCTGCATTCCTCAAGGATATCGCCTGAAAAATGCCAGAAATTGTGCTTATTGTGTTGGTTCAAAGAGCCCTCAAGCTGGTTCTCATCAAGAGCCATTAAAACGAGGACAAGCATGGAACATGGAACAAACAGAGCGAAGGAGGGGAGACGGAGAGGCTGAGTGACTTCTGGTTCAGCTTTTCAGTCGTCTCACGATGGGGTGTTGAGCCAGTCGCACAGCATCAAGCTGATTACTGACACAGGGCCAAGTGAACTGATCGCAGTTACATGTCCTCACTTGGTATTGATTAAAATCCCTCTCTGGCCATTGATTGAAATCCCTAAACACTGTTCTCTCTGTTTGAAACTTACACATTTACAAGATTTTTCCATGAAAACAACCCCTTCTGATCTTAAAATGGTTTAGATGTAAGTTTGCACTGTTGCTTCTGTTAGAAAGTGCAGATCTATGAAGCCTCTATTTATAGTCCCTCTTCCCCATTCACTGCAGCTCAACACACCAGCTCACCCATGACTCTGCTCAAACATTGCAAAAACTACAGTTTCAAGGTGGAAATGCTCAGAGATGGTGTTGACTAATAATTTTAGTCATGTTGTGTCTTCTAGCATATAAAAAACACCATATGGACGAATTAGCAAGATTTTTTTTTAAAACTTGATTTTCACCAGAGGGGGTCTTTAAGGGAAGTGATGCAGGATGTCGTGTTTGGAAAACATTTGTGGCAGGTTTACGACTGGTCAGGAAAGTATTTCAAACAGTACTGGATTCCAGGATCTACTCTGCACTATTGTGAAATGTTTGTGGCAGAGTAAATGCTTAAATATTTAGTCTGAAAGAACAACTGAGTTCTTCTATTAGTGTAAGCCAAAGGTTTAACAAAGGTAATGATAAGCTGTACTCTTCTTAGCTTTTATCAAATGAAAAAAAATCCCTATGTTACTTATTTAGAATCTTATAATGACTAAATAAACTGAAATTGTTAAAAGAAGTTTGCAAAAATAAGCTTTTGGGGTTAATTTTATTTTGTTAGTTGTTTGTATCGTCTACTATTTCTTGATTGATTTGCAGCCATCTGTATTGGTTATTCAAACCAATTGCTACGACGTGAGGTTACCATTTCGCAACGACAATACAGAAGTAAAGTTTGACAATACAGCAAACCTTCACAGAGAAAAGTAATATATGAACTACAATAAAGAAGCTGAGAGAAAACGTGAGAGCACAGGACTTTATGAGTTGCCGTAATAGTTGGCAACACATCACCAGCCGTGCTGTTGCAGCAGGCTGCCAGTAGCTCATGGTTGCGTAATAAAAACCACTATTACTGTATGAGATGACTATACTATCATTGAATTAAACAGGAAACCCCAAGTCACGGCCCTTCAAGTGCGAGGAATAATATACGGAATTCCCTTTTCTTTTGCAGAGAATACCCTTCATCTCCCCGTACTTCCTGAAGCGTCATGAAACAACGCGACTGTCCTCAGGGCCGGGGGAGAAAATCTTTTTTTGTATTTTAAAGGCAAAAGTAACAATAAGGCACGATGATTCCCTTGTATAACCTTGCCACTTCGTACACTGAGACATTTAGAGGGCGGAGAGTGAATTATTGCCAAACAAAAGACTATGGAGGCACTTTTGGTGAGTCATCTTCGTCATACTGTGGCCATGGCGACAGGAAGAAATTAATAGTAAACTCAGATGCTTTGAGTAAAAGTGCCAAAGGATAATAAGAAATCCGTGCAGCCTGTTGACAGTCTAATAATAGGAAACAAATGCAACACACTATACACAAACTTGATTGATTGATTTTATTTACCCTTTTTAAAAAAAAATAAAAATGGATAAGCTATTTCTCTGTTACCTGTTAAGAAGCTGGACTGAATAGCAAAGCTTATTTTTTTTTAAATCCACTATATTTGAATTTTAAAGCTTTCTCAAAGTGTTGCGGTAGAATTGTGCTGCAGTTGTTCTTTGCCAGTGACTTTTCATGATAAGTTGAATTTAGGTTGAGTTTTTTAAGACAAACAGGGAGACAAATTTACTTAAGACTCTACAGTACCACAACACTAAACCTTTGACGAGACTATGGGCCACCTGCCATAATAAGAAGTTGCTACCACTGTTCCGGCTGTGCAACAAGGATCGTGGAGCATTCACTCACACCTTCTAGAAACCCTTCACTTTGCCAACTGCAAGGTTAAGACAACAGTTACGGAGAGTGCCTTTTTTATTAGCCGTGCATTAGCCTTTGGAGATTTGGAGACAAAATGCCCCAGACTCCTCTTAAAAAAGCAAAATAAAGGAACATCTGGCCATGATGGGTGGCCACTCTAGGTTATATAAAGCTGAGTAGAGCCAACAAACAGGAATCTCCTGCATGAGACTCCTAAATAGTAAACCCTGAGGATTCCTGTTCCATAACGTATGATTAAGACTAGTAGGCAGACAGAAGCTCCCTGAAATTGAAATCTCATGAAGGATTCAAAGAAAATATATTGCTGGCTCAGGTTGGACATGCCTAGTATGGAACAGATGCTGCAATAATCCCATAAGAGCAGCTACCCCGCGCAATTTGTAAAGTTGAATATCCCTGTGTAAGGGAACGACTTCTGCTCTGCTGGTAAGTCTTCCAATCCAGGTGAGTGTGAGTGTGTGTGGATGTGTTTTTCCTGTGCTGCCTGCATGAACCCAGACGTACCGCCAGTGAGCAATGAGCCCCCACTGCACTTGGCTGACCTCTCATCACTCCCATTTTACAGTCCTTCTCAAGTGTCCAAGCAGGAAAAAAAAAAGAAAGAAATGACTCCAGTACGAATTAGACACAACATGAACCCCCTCTGATAGAAACACACCCTGGATTGTAGGAAAAGAAATGCCTGACTGATACAATGTAGTATAGATTAATAGAGGAAATGTAGGTATGACGAGTAAAAGAAGAGGAAGAAAAATAACAAGGCAGCTTTCAGTTTTAGTTTTACTTGACGTATAATGGGTGACTTGTTGCATCACTTCTTTTCTCCAGAATATGAGCAAAAACATATTCCGCTGAAACACTGTAACTCCATACCCAGAATGAACCAATGAACTCCTGTTTCCTGTGAGTGGACTCATAATTCTAAAACAGATTACCTTGTGAAGAATGACACATAAATTCACAGAAACATGGCAGAATCAGTATTTTTGCATGCGTCCCATCCTGAGTGAAAAGCAGAAACCATTACACATTGCTGAAAGGGCACGAAGTCACAGTTTGAGGCTTTATGCGTCATTTAATTTGGTGTCAGAAGGTCATAAAACAACACATTTGACAATACACCTGTGCCCATTTCTGAATCAGCAGCAAGTTAAACATTAAAAAACTATCACATAGGCCAGAGTGTCTTGCAAGAGAACATGTACCTTTTTTCTTTCATTCACATTTAAATGTGCCTCACTAAAATAATCCAATTCTCTGTTTCTGCGTCTTTGTAATTCTAATGACAACTTTAATATTGTGACCTGAGCCTGACCAATACACCAGTCAGTGAATAATATCAGACAATATTGACCTGCCACAGGCATATTGACATATGTGTTGTCCCAAAAAGTTCTATACAGAACAAAATAGAGAAAAAAACGTTGGGGTAATTTAGAAATGGTGTCATCACATAAGTTTGTCCAGCAGATTTCCAACACTCAGCACTGTAGGCAGCACATGTAGCAGAGATTTTATCGCAGATGGTGGTGTGGAGTCAAGTAGTGCCTTCAAGGGAAGAAGGTAAACTAGTTTGTGAAAAAATGTAATAAACAACGATCTAATAATTTTCCTTCTAAATATAAACCTAACCTATACGTGTATATATACACACACACACACACACACACACACATACATATATATATATATATATATATATATATATATATAGTGCTTAACAAATTTATTAGACCACCTGTCTAATTTGTTAAACACTATTTATATATACATATAGACCATCCAGCATCACGTGTTTTAATTCGCACTGAGCTCTCTACGTTTTACTGTTTTGAACAGGAATGAGGAATTTTTAATTATAAACTTTTCTAGAATTCACCTTTTTACATCCAAATTTAGGTGGCTCACTGGGCTTCTCTAAGAAGATTCAACCGCTAAACTGTTTTTTGCTGTTCTAGAATGCAAGTAAATAGCTATAATTTAATTAATCAAGAAATTATTATGTGGTTTGCTATTTGTTCAGTTTCTTGTAAAATGATAAATTTTTATCATTCACGGACAACAATAATAATTATTTTTTAACACTAAAAATATCATTTTGGTTAAAGAGCTTCTACATACTGGTGTATTAACCATTATAGAAACATAAGAAATGATTTTGGTTATTACCAGTGCTTTTCATTCAGGGCAGCTGTGGCATAACCCTTACATTGGTTGGTGGTCTAATAAATTTGTTAACCACTGTATATGAATGTGAAATTTCATCTGATGTACTGATATCTGATTTTTTTTACTCCCTAAAATCACAAATGTGCCCATAAATCCAGCATTGGTCGGCATTGTGTCTTCACTGAAAGAAGGCAGTATGAATGTTAATTTTAGGTGGTTTATGTGGCTAATCATGACGTGACTATATAGTTGTACCTTATTTACCAGAATAAGTCAGTTACACACCTTCGCATAAACAGAGACCACCTGATAACCATCAGTAACTAATGACCCTACCAGTCGGTGACTCCTATTCACAAACGATACCCCCCTTTCCTCCTCGCCATTGTCTTCTGTATGAAATTTGACATAGCTGAATATGAGCACAAGGAGCACCAGGAAGAAATCTTTGCTCAGGTAGCGTGTCACATTTCCGTGACCTCTACTAGCCAGAACAATTCCAGGCTGCCTCTTGTCCCTACATCCGCTTCCTCCTTGCGTCTTTCCCACGCTTTGTGTGCGGACAGTGAAGGAAATCTACTTGAAAACACAGCGGACAAAGCTTCATACGCTCAAAGTGTGTACGAGTGTGTGCGTGTTGTGGGGGGGTTGAATGTGAGCAATGTTTCCTTTGTTTGGATGGGTTGTTTATTTGGCATTGGAATCCTTACGTGTATCTCAGTGGCACACTCGACCTGGCGCAAGGTGGAGGAACATCCATGTTTTATACTCTGTCTTGTTTTGGTGCAGTGACACTGAGACAATGAAGCTGATTGTGCTGTCAGGAGAAACATGCATTCTGCTCCCAAAATGTTTAATCCTGTTCGCTCACAAATAACAATGGCTGGAACAAACGGTTCTGTCACAATATGCAACAAAGTGTTCATTTGTAAAATGTTCAGGATTTTCAAGGAAACAAGTCAGCCTATGAAAAGTTCATCAATTAAGTCAGTCTTAAAATATAGTCTGCCAGGTTACCTGTCTGAGTGAACACATTTTACCCACTTGTTAATCATCACCAATTACAAAGGGGCAAGACTACCTCTAGTGGGCTGTGTGAGAACTGCAGATTCAATAACAGCCTGCCTTAAACTGTTGATGCATGATTTTCTTAAAACATATTATATTCTGTATATTCTATAGTCATATTCACACAAAAATGCGCCACAAAAGTTAGGATTTAAGAAGAGAATTGGAGGTGGGGGGAGGAAATAATCAGTTAAACAGAAAAAGGAGAAGATTACTATTAAGAGACTATAGACTCCACTATCATGCTTTTCCTTTAAATAACTAACTGGCTGATAATGACAAATGTCTGCGGGAACAATATGCAGCCAATCCTCCACTGACACGAATCAGACAAGCCAAACTGCGATGTTAAAATTATCTCCCCTCATGCGTAAAACTTGTCTACGCGTAAATAACTGGTCTGTACGAGCATGCATGACTTCTTACCATTTGTGAGTGACGAACAACACAAGATGACAGCGACCAGTTTGAAGCAGTCCGATGAAGCCATCCTGTCACCAAAATCCAAAACCGTGTCCTGAAACTGAAGTAACAGAGTCCCTGGAGGAAGATTTAAATTCCGGAGCGGTGACAAAACTTTCCTCTGAAAGCAAGCAAATCAGAGTCTTAACTTGTCTTTTAAAGTGTGCCTTATAAATCCACAAAACCTTCAGGTGTGCAGGGAAAAAGCTGCAATAATTCTCCCGTATCCCATGACGCGTTTTCGCGGGGGAGCTCTCCTGCGCAGCTGGCCGGTCCAACTCCCGATCCCGCACTGAGGAGACGGATGGACCGCTGTATCCTCCGGGCAGGTGCAACCAAAAAAGTTAACTGGATTAAAATTAAAGGCTGGTAAAAAAAAAAATACAGATATATAAAAGTTGAATGAGAGGTATTTCAGTTACACGCTGGTATGTGGCGAATCTCACACAAGTAGGACCAATCAGTTCCTGCCTTTGGTGCGCGCCTGGAACAATATCGCTGCTCTGAGCCTCTGAGCTGCACTTCACGGTCCATGCGCCACACACGCTTTATACAGACACGGAGGAATGACGTAACGCTGCTCTGCTGTGGATGGCAGGTTCCCGACTTAGATGGAGCTAAAACTTATCCACAACTTACAGGAAACCTAAAATATGTCCAGAAAAGAACGTCTTCGTCTTGTAATGTAACGTAATGATCAGATATACCTCCAGTAATCTTGAAGTCAGAGCCGTTTTTAGGATCTTGGCACACTAGGGGCTCAGCCCAGCCCAGTTTTCAGACTTTCACCTGATCAGTCCAACATTTTCAACTAAAATAATAACTAATTATGCACATTGTCTTGTTTTATGATTTAGAGAACAAGTTAAAAGTCTTGTCCTTATTAGAGAATGGTTAAATGCAGCCAATGGTGCACAGATTCTCAACCACCCAGTTAATCCACACCCACATCAGATGTGACTTTACAGGACAGTGGTCAGATAGCATGACAGCACAGACACACTCAGTTGATCAGTAACTGTAAATGGCCACTTAAAAATGTGGGTCTATTCAAACGAACTGGATGCTGGTATGCTAGTTTGGGCGTAGTCAGGCATTTGAATGTTCACAACTCCACCATTTGTTGTCTGAAGCCCCTTTCATAAAAGTCATGCCGGTAATCTTACTAGATCAGACCTCGTAGCATTTCAGTATCATTTTCTACATTGCACAAGGCTGTGCTGTCTCGGTCACATTCACGGACAGAGATGCACAGAATGATGACGTAGCATGTTGTTGTTAGTCCACAATGCTGTAAAAGCTGCGGCACATTCCAATGAGCCCACTTGTGACTACAACAAGGTGATGTTCAGTTGTGTTGTTTAGTTGTATTTTCAGAGGAAAAGCGAACACAAATGTCTCCAAATTGGTCCAACCCAGATCTTTTTAAGACAGCAAGGGACCATAAACAATCTGCCACATGATGCTCTGTATGTCTGACAACTTGATCCTGTCCTCAAAAATGTCCCCCAACTTCACCGAGTCCCTTAGGGAGAGTGAGACCACGTTCAACAAACAACCTCATGAATTTAATTTACTTTGTTGGTTACTTAAATGGTTAGAGATCACATTCTGCATATTCTGTATATGCTATAGTGACATATTCCATTCTAAGGGCAGCCACAATTAATGAGATTTCACAATTTGGTTCAGATTTATGTCAAAATCCCTATCAGGATCTGTGGTAAGGCCAAATTCTGCACTCTCAGTTTAATATTTTGCCTCCTTTGTTGAATTTTAATAATAAATATGCCATTAATCAATTGTGAGTGGGGAGTGGGAACTCCTGCTGAGTGCACCGTACGGTCAGATTCCCAGTCATGATCTTAAGCCTCTTGATAGACAGATGGAATGTCTTCAAGAACAAAAAGAGAAGTCCAGTTGTGTTCTGCTAGAGCTCTTAGGATTACCATGACTTGAAAGAATCTACACAGATTCAACTATTGTGCAAAACTGTGTAAAACAGCAGCAGGACAACTTTAGTGAGTCTGGTGATGTTTTAATACTGTCCAGATAACATTATGTGGATACTCAAAGATGGGAGAGTTCAAAGTCGAACGCCAGCAGCAGACATTAACTCCAATGTTCCGCCAAGATGACTCAGTTTAAGCACTTACGACCACCTCATGCCCAGATTTTTAAAACATTTTTTTTGCAACCTTGATGAACTGTGGCACTGTTGGCAAACCTTACCGCCTGTGGTAAAGAACTGCCTCTGCAGGTGATGCATAGAAAAATATACCAAACTCATCTTTACAGTAAGTTCAGCTGTTTGGTTTGTAGCTCATGCTTTCAAAACAGAGAATTGCAAAAAATATTCCTGCAAAGAAGTATGCTGTATTTTGATACATTTGCAGAAATTTGAGGTCAAATGTCAATGCAAATAAAAGCTTCACAAAGACACACCTTTACTACGACTATGGATGGGTACAAATTATGTTTATTTTAAGATTCTGTTAATTAGTTAGACATCATTACAAGAGCTTCCTTTGTTAACCCTCTATTCTGCAACTAGATCTCTCAGAATCAGTTTCTGGTAAAAAAAATTCCAAATTCCTAAAACAAAGAGATGTTTTTAGAGTTTTAACCTCAACGCTGTGTAAACAAGCTCCCAGCTAATGTCAGATGAGCTCAGTCATTTCCTGACTTTAAAAAGTGTTTTAAACCTACCAGTACAGATTGGCATTTGTAGAATATTTTAGAATGTTTTTTCTATTGTTGGCAGTTTTTTTTTTTTTTTTTTAAAGCGCCCTGTAACGCCAGTTTTGAAAGATGCTATAGAAATAAACTAGATGGTCACAACTTGACTAACCTCTGATGCAGTCATTGTATTTTGGAGCTGAGCCTGTCTGTGGTTACTTCTAAATGCCAATTTTAGGTTAAACTATAAAAGGAGATCAATAAACGACTTTTTGTTTGATTTACTTAATGGACCTTTGTGTGCAACACTGTCTTTGATAAACTCAACCTACTGTGTAACTGAGGTTAAAGGTAACAGCAGTTGTCTTGTGTCAAGAGGAAAAACAGTAAAATGCAAACAATCACTGCGATATCAGACTGAATCTATCTGTCCAAGTGTTTAGGATAAACATTTGCTGGATTTATTTTTAACTTCAGAAACAGGATACACTGCTTTTTATATCAATGTAAATAATCCTCTTTTGTCCAGCACAAAGTACCCTGCAGTGTGTGGATGTGCTGCAGACTGTTTTCTTTTATCACCACAACAATTACTGTGCTGCTGCAGGTCATGGTAGCAGGCACTGTAAATAAGAACATCCTGCCCTCACCTTTCCGCCCACATCTCGACTCGACAGCTACCTTTCTGCGGCCTGGATCTGAAGTGATGGTGGGTACTATAGGTGAGCCGTGTGATGAGCACCACTCTCCCATCCCTGTAGCAGGAACATGGGGACATGGCACATGAGAACATTGAAAACAATTCCTAACATCCCTGGAGTGGGAGTCTTGTAGCCTTCTGGGATTTTGAGACCACATGATCACAGCTCAAGAATTTAAAGATTTCCTGTGCATCATCACTATTTAGAGTGCTTTAATTGGACATTTTCTCATGAAATCACGACAGGAAATCGATATTTGGTGCATAGAAAGAGATTACATATAAAAGTCAGCTCTCCTCTGCATAGATAATTCCAAAAAAGGGTGTGTTGAATTACTACTACATCTTTCTAAATTTGAGACTGTGGACACTGACTGTGCAACTCTTCTCGCTTTGTGGATTTGGAAAATGACAAATGAACCGTGATATATTAGATGTTTAACTATATTCATAAGCAATTAAAGACAACAACAATAGTCTATAAAATGCACAAGAAAGAGTTCTAGAGACGTCTACTACAATTGTCTTAGCAAGTCTTCAGTAAAGAAGAGATTCCCATTGGGCCAAAGGGGCAACAGATAAGTCTCCAGATGAACAATTGCTGGAAGTTCCTGGCTGAGAGGGTTGGATTTTGAGTGATTTATTTTAGAAGCTAGTGTTAAAAACACACTATGTGGGGACTGACTGGTTCTACACACACAGCATGCAGTCTTCCTTTTGTCCTTCTTGGGTAAATGAACCAGTAGAAATGTCTTTCTTCAGGAGGGGCGAGGAGGGGGCCTGACTGCCTGCCCTGTTGCTCAAATGACTGTACTCAGTCTTGAGTGGAAACTGTCACAGTCTCCAGACCCCATTCATACAGCAGCTTTGGAGCAAATCTTAGTGAACAAAATAGGAATTAGAGTCTACTGTATTAAAGCTACAGTATCTAGTGTTTTCCAGAAGCATTCATTTGTCCTGATTGTTTCAGATCTCCTTAGATAGATATGTAGATATTTTATCAATCCTTTGCAGGAAATTACATTCCAACAGCAATCAGTAAATCAAGTGTTTTGATAATAAAAAGACAAACGTCTGTTTTCTGCAGCAGTCACTGCCTGTAAAAACAATCATTGCATTCGGTCCGCATGAGATGATAGGTCAGCCTAACTCTCCCTAATTACCTACCTGCCTACCGGCATGCACTCACTGCACGTCGCCAGAGTCATCCACAAAGCTATTAGTGGACACACTGCTAAAGCAAGCAGGCAGATAGCACAATCATAGCAGACAAAGTGCAGCCACATGCTACAGTTCCACCTAAACCTGCAATATCTTGCACTGATAAACATGTTAAATGATTGCGTTTGTTGTTGTGTTTGGGTGTTTTTCTGTGCCTGTTGTGGTGTTCCTCCTTCAGTTTCATTAGAGTGTGTTTACACATATCTGTGTCTGCATTGTAGCCTGGTTGTGAGCAAGTGTTCAGTGGTATTTGTCTGATCTTAGTCTATACTGGCTTGAATGGGATGTTTTGAAATGTGGTGATGCAGCCTACTTGTGTGTTTTTAACCACCGACGCTCTCTCTCATGTATTAGTACAGTTGTACTCCTACATTGTACGTTCATGTGTTTTGGAGGAGTGGTTGTGGAGGGATCCCTGAAAGGAGTGGGTGGGATTTTTTCAGTTGCAAGATTACAAAATCCACTTTACTCTTTCCGGTTTCTACAATCTTGTATACTCTAGCTGTAACAAAACAATTTAATGCATGACAGCAGTATTACAAACTGTCCGTTTTTAAGTCAGGGTTATGGACAGAGGCCAGCAACGGTTCAGGATTTGGGCACTCCAGAAAATATTAAAACTACCTAAAACATCCTCATTGTTTGGTCAATAATGGAAACAGAAACATGGAAAAAAA